TAGTAAAACAAAATTAAAACTCTATTCTCGTTAAATTCAGGAGAAAAAGTATTATGGACATGGATAGACCGATCCGTCTACCAGAGGTCATTGGTTTACAAATATTATATGCAGTTTAGAGGAGAGAGAGAGAGAGAGAGAGAGAGAGAGAGAGAGAGAGAGAGAGAGAGATGACGAGATAAAGAATGCTGTATCATCTGCGTACAATGCATAATTACATTTACTTTTCGTTTTAGTTAAATCATTGATAAATACGTTAAATAAAATAGGTCCCAAAACGGATCCCTGGCGTATCCCAGATGAGATAGATGTTACAGATGTTACAGCATTACCAGCTACTACCTGGAATTCTCTAAGTAGCTTTTTATAAAGGAAACTAGACTTGGGAACATTCACTTGAATTAATTTGAAAAAAAGACCCCTGTGGCCAGACACAGTCAAATGCCTTTTCAACATATATTAGTGCTATTCCAGAATGTTTGTTCAGGTTAAAGTGGGGTTCAGGGTAAAGTCCTCTAGCTAATTGTGCAATGGTGCAATGATGCCTACGAAAGCCATATTGCTTATTTGAAATGATATTAATTTCTATAAACGTGTTCAACCTTTTCACTATAATGCGCTCAACTACCTTCCTTATACACGGCAGAAGAGAAACAGGGCGAAAACTGCTTTGAAGAGTCAGAACTATGTTTAGTATACCGAATCAAGCGCCGAAACTTTGACCCATTCTAGAATCCGCAATACCTTACTTCTTGGGAGAGTAAAACAACCAAGGTTAAAGAGCCGAATCTCACCCAAAATCGAGCACTGTCAAAAAGTGAAACATAATCTCGACGGAAGGAGAATTGCATGGGGAGCATATGCCAAAATTACCCTTATTCCTCACAGCTGAATTTACATGTAAAACCTCACCTTAAAACCCATCTTAGTTCACGCAAGGAAAGACTGCCCGTCAATGTTAGGCTTTTGGAATTTAAACTTGATGAAGCTTCTGATTCCGTGTAAAGAGACAAGTGTGTAGATGTTTGAACCCGTAATAAGCAATTTTCCCGATACTGACAGGCAATTCTGGAGAGGAAAGCCGAAAAATGAACATGCCAATTACAGATGTTTTCATGGGTCAATGAGAAGACTAGAATGCATTTGTTAAATAAAAATTTCCAGTGAGCAAACCAATGGGAATTAGACTTAATTATTTACAGTGCTGTGATTTTTGAAAACCCCAAGAAAGCATCACTTTTGTTATGAAATAGAAATGAAGCAGTGTGTAAACAAATACCATTGCTGTTTCCAAATACAGAAGATAGTTAGAGACTACCAGAGGGCAACGTAATTTTATTTTACTCTAAAGTACCATCACTAATAACCATAAAATTAAATCTGAAATAAACAATTATCTTAACTAACAGACCGTAAGATAAAACAAATTAGATTTTATTTTGCTTAATTAAAAAAAAATAATTAGACAAAAAATCTATAACTAATTAAAAGATAGCTTTTCCTCATTTGACATGGGTGTTATATAAGGAAAATTTATCTAAATTGAAAACACCACAGCGCGCCCTCTTATTTCCAAATCTGTTCAAAACACAACTATTCATTTATTTTAAAAAAATGCTTATCTTAGTAATTATTTTATTTCATAAGTCATTCAAAATTGAATAGACATAATAAGGATAGGCCATGCGAGGTAGACACACAGACATGTCAGGGCCAAAGCACGCGTATGTGTCCGGCAAGCAGAGAACGGTTGATTCCAATACGGACTGAAAAAAAAGTGAAATAGTGCAAGTTTCGTAGACAGAGTTGCAGACAGAGTATGACTTTTGAAGTGAGATCTATTCAACTTTAGCATATCGGCTCTGATTTTTATGAACATTCTTTCCTAATGTGAACTCTAGTTTCAACACGAATATCTTTCGTTCTTCCTTATCCATTTATCTTACTTATTATTATTCAAATAACTTTCTTGTAAGGGGTACCAGTTGTAAGAGATTTGATTTATTAGTAATAAATTTACATAGAACTCATTCCTTTAAGTTTCAGGGGAAGTGCCGGGGCACTATTACATCCTGTTACAATAATTGATCTATTTGATCCCAAGTCTAAATATAGAGGTTTTAACAATATTGTGCTCGTGGAAAATTACAAAAAAAGTAGGTTGTAAGCAAAATGAAATCAGGTACACATTGAATTGAGCAGCTTTAGCGATGTCAGGAGTAAATGATATGTGCAAATATAATAACATCATAAAAATAATAAAATGTTACAGTTGGCATAATAAATAGGATAATGAATTTAAGTTTAATCAAAGTAAATAAATGAATAAATAAATAAAAAATAAGTTAAATACATTAATAAATTAAAAGATTACTAATCAAACAAATATGAAACGTATGTACATTTTTATATACACGTTCGTATACATAATTTACAAGATTGCAGTATGCATACATGCACACACATACACACATCTTTACCCATATATTAGCCTGATTATTAGTTTAATATATGTTTTATTCTCCTGTGCTTCCAAATAGTATTCGTAGGGTACCTTCCAAATTCTTGGCATGTAGGATTTTTGTGCTCAATCAGTTTATTAAAAAAAAATTTCACTGAGCCGTTTAGCTTCGTCGTTTATCAATCTCATGTTTGTACTCACATGGAGGAGGCTAATTTTAGTGCGGCGGCCCGAAGAGGTTACCAGCCTCGGAAATTTATTTAGTGTGCACTGTAATTACTTAAACCAAGCCTTGTTTGCATTGTTTAATAAAATCTAAACCGAGAGAGAGTAGACAGACAGTCATTCATTCCCAACGTAGCTGCATCTGTGTTTTCCCTCGAACACTAACAGCACTTAAAAAGCAAAAAGCAAATTACAAGTTAAATTTAATTAATTAATCTTTTTATGTAATGTTTTGGATGCAATGAAAAAGCGGGATTCGAACTTACGACCTTCGGCTAAATACGACGTCACTACCACTTAGGCTATTGTGATTTCGATCGAATTCACGATAGCTCAACTGGTAAAGTAGCGGTGTATTTATCCGAAGGCCGTGGGTTCGAATCCCACTCGTTTCACTAGCTTTTCATTTCAACCAAAACCTTACAAAAAAGATTACTTAATTGAAAGAAGTAATTTGGTCAATAGGCCACTAAATATAATGGATTCAGAGTATCCTTTATATGGGCAAATATATAAATTTATTGTAATAAATGCCTTAGACATATAATTTAACTATCATTTTGTATCTAGCTAATTTTTTCAATAAAAAAGTAAAAAAAAGCATTGTATCAAGTACTATTAAGAACTATTAAGAAAAAGATGAAAATAAGCCATTTTTGTATTCAAGAAGTGTAAAACGAACTTTCACAAATACATTTTGAAATGTAATTATTCGAAAGTATGAATTTCCCTCGCCATTTTTTAATTAGTTTTATTACATCTTAATCCAATCCTTTAGTATTAGTGCTAGAATAGGATCGGATGATTAACGTTTTAAAGTGATAAATGGTTTTTCCCTTATTTGCGTTATTAGTTTTTCACTGATTGACGAGGCCATTAGTTCCGATTTGTCAAGTAAACAAAGCCCAAGTTGATGAATAAATACGACGATTGGACACAACGGATTAGTGAAGACCGCGGGGCTTAAGTTAATTGGAAAACACAATTTCAATCAAGCCCGTTCCCAATTTCGTGCCGGCCGGCTTTAGGCTGTGAACGTCAAAAGACTTCGACTCACTCCCATCTTATGGGCCAAATGTACAATTGTTCTATTTAAAACGTTCTTATTTTTCTGGAAAACTTTTCTTCTTCAGCTAGGAGATAATCTAAGAAAAGAAGAAAAGGCTGTCATATGACGATAATTTCCATTTAAAAGTAAAATAAAGTAAAATGTTTAATCCTTTTGCTTTGTTTCAAACATTCCTAGGCCGAATGGTCTATTTAAAGTCCATAAATGTAAGAAAAAATGTAAACTGTATTACCCTTTTGTATTTAAATTTAAATTGTGTTTTGTTTCTTTTAGATGGTCCTTAAATTCAGAAAATTTGTTCGATTAGGCAAGTGTTCTTTAACTATCGTTTTAATTTCTCTGCCGCTTTGCCCTACATATTTCACATCGAAATCATTAAAATTAAGTTTGTAAGCCCCGCTTTTTGACAAGTTGTCAACCTTATCTTTAGGTTTTGAGAGGATGTTTCGAAGTGAACGTTTGTCTACTTTTTCTGGTAGTTTCCCAATGTGTGGCAAGCAACGAAAAACCTAAAGGTACATTTTTGGTGGGTGACTTCTTCTAAACTTTATTTTATTTTATTTTTTTTACAAGCAACCTATCGATAAATATTTCTTGATATACAAAGTTTTAATTGTTTGTAATTATTTTTTATAATTAGCAGGTGTTAATGGGAGGTTCAACATCCGGTGTATGAATCGAGCAACTTTTTGGGTCCTATGGGAGAAGAATCTGCTTGTATCATGGTGTCTGTAGTTGGGGTTTTCTAGATACGTCTATTTCAGTTAGGTTGTTTATTATAAACAGTTTTATGTCTAAACATAAACTTTTTAAACAACCATCTATTATGTCTAATTATATAATAATATAAAAATTTATACTAGGGCATAGGAGGAATCCTTTAAGAACCTCCAGTGCTCCCGGCCATATACAGGGTGTTCGGCTATTTGTGTTACAAACTTTACCCGTACATTTTCATTCAAAGTGGATCGAAAAAGTCCTAATTAACTATGGTCCGAACCTCAGCAGTTATTACATGTTTTCTCCTTCTCGGAAAACATTTAATAAAACTTAAATAGTGGCGGGACAAACCGAGACGAGAAGCTCGAGAAGCAGGAAGCGAATCTCGGCCTGCAAGATCCTGACCCGGAGGGCACTGGGTTCGAGATTGGGAAAAAAAAAGCAAGCGGCAGTCAGTTCAAGATTACGTTCCGAGTAAGAGGTGGTCTCTGCGAGGAAAAGAAAATATTTTTAAAAAAGTGTGTGTGTGTGTGGCTTGTGATCCTAGTCAGTACTCAGTAGTCGTGCTGATCTACGTGTGCGGAGGGTTCCTACGAAGAGAAGGGGCTGATCCCGGCAAGTGAAGAGTGATCTCGTGAATTGTTTCATTTCCAATTTCTTTATCAGGCCTGATAATTCGGGACTAGAGACATAGTTGTAAGTTTCGGCCTTTTGTTAGTTTTTAATTTAAAAAGAATTTGTCAATGTAATTATAAATAGAATAGTTGTTATTAGTATTAATTTTTTTAAATCGTAGTTTAAACCCTTAGTAAGCTAAATACCCTAAGATATCATCTTGTGTTAACGAATTAACTCCGATAAAAGAAGGAAGAACTTCATTATTTAGCTCCCATCATAACCCTGGGTGGAAGCGCCACTTCATAAGAAAGAAGAGAAGCCAGAAGCGCTACATCGGTCGTCTGGGGTCTAACACGGGAACCGTATCTGTCTTTCCTTTTCTCTTTTTTTTCCCATTGTTCTACTCTTCTTTTTCTTTTTTCCTGGTTTCGGTATTTATCCTTCTCCAAAAATACCATGCCGCTCAACATAACATCTATAAATAAACTTTCACCCCCTCACCGACCATACTAATCTCTCCCTTCAACACTGAGCTACCGCCAACGTACGTGCAGCCACAGGAAGGAAGCTGTAACACAGTTTCGGATTTATTCCACTTTTTCTGATTTTTTAAGATTTCACGACCTTGCTTCAAATAAACAATGATAACTCCAAAACTAAAAAGTTTTGGACAAATCCGTTGATACCATTGAAAACTACGTTAAATTTCCAATAAGATGTGCTCAATACTAAACTTGTAAACGTTGGTGAAATAAACGTTTTAGTATCTAGAACTTTGAAAAATAATTTTTACTTCAAAGTCGAAAAACTTACTAAGGTGATGCTGAACTACTATTTCCAAACCTAGAGACCAGCAAATTTCAGAAGACGTACTACATTTTATAACCTTTTTAGTTGTGTAATTGCTTTTTTAATTACTTTTTCGAAGATAAAGAAATTGATGGAGGAAAGGAAAAAACCGTGGCTAACGGATTGGTAAGGTGGAAAATCAAAAATCAAAACTTAAGGAAATTTTGAATGAATTTATTAAACTTTTTTTAATTTGGGTTCGAAACCGAAATAGTGCAAGTGTTTACTTATTTACCAACACGACTGCAACATTGATTAAAGAATTATTGTATTATTCTTTGAAATAAAAGTGTTTTAAGATTCAAAATTTTTTTCATTATCTATGTGATATTTTGTTAACATTATGGTTACATTTTCTAATGAAGAAACGCTGTAAACGTATGTACGGGTTTTGTGCGTTTAATGCAACTGCAGCGCATCGAAAATACATTGCGGAGGGTGGAGATCATTTCGAATCAAAATTAAAAACCCAAAAAATCCAGATCAAATACCAATGCCTCCAAAGCCAACAAACAGATATTTCAACTCCGCCTTGGACCCTATCTACACCAAAAGTTATACGAGCGTTAAATAGGTTCACAAAATCCTACTCTCCCAATAGTATAAAATAACGATCTGAAGAAAATTTTCAGTGAAATGCAGAATCCTTAATGTATTTTCAATGACGACTCAAGCGATCTAAACGACCCAGGTTCATGCCTTTGTGTTTAAATTTCCTTCGGTATGCCGAAATTTTTCAGCGGAATTGTTAGCAATTTCCCAACCCCTAAAATGCCCCGACATCGACTATTCAACTACGGTAATCTGCACAGATTATTTCTTGTCTACCCTGATAATAATAATCTTAAGTCCTCGGATCACCCTTGGTTTTGGGATGTTTTGTATTCTCTAAGCTGACTCGGAGAATAGAAGCCATAAAATTTGGTTCGTGTCGGTCCCTGGTAATCAAAATTAAAAAAAAAAGTTTAATAAATTCATTCAAAATTTCTTTAAGTTTTTTATTTTTTACTATTATTAATCTTTCCACCTTACCAATCCTTCAACCACGGTTTTTCTTTTCCTTCATCTTTGAAAAAAGTAATTAAAAAAGCAATTACACGACTAAAAATGATATAAAATGGAGTACGTTTTCTAAAATTGGCTGGTCTCTAGGTTTGGAAATAGTACTTAGAATCACCATAGTAAGTTTTATAAAATTATTTTTCAAATTTCTCGCTACTAATTGCAACAAGGTTTACATGTTTAGTATTGATCACATTTATTGAAAATTTAACGTAGTTTTCAATTGTATCAACGGATTTGTCCAAAACATTTTAGTTTTCGAGTTATTGTTTATTTGAAGCAAGGTGTTGAAATCTTAAAAAATTAGAAAAAGTGGAATAACTCCGAAACTGTTGAGATTAGGACAATAGTTAATTAGCACTTTTTGGTTCCTTTTTGAATACCCTGTATACATAAATCGTATCCAAAAACTTTTCCAAAAAAAGGACAGTTTTAATTAATTTGTTATTAGCTTTGTAAAGAATTTTTTCAACGTTTTCCATGAATATTTCGACATGAATTGGGGATAATTGAGACCCCATTGGTAACCCTTTCATTTCATAAAATTTATTATTAAATTTACAGTAATTAGTAGGCAATATAATTAAGAGGTCTATTTTTACAAATCCATTAATGTAGTTCGCAATAAGTTTTTGTTTTTATTAGTTTAATATATTCTTTAACAGGGATATTTATAAATAAATTAGCAACATGAAATGACACTAAAACACATTTGTTAGGTATATTTATGTTTTTAACTTTTTTATCAATTCTAAAAAAAATTGTTAGTACCGAATGTAGGTTTGAAATTGGTGTGGGTTTTAATTATTTCATCAATTTTTATCGCGAGTTTGTGACATGGAGAATATAAAAGGGCACTAGTGATATAGGCTTGTTTTCTTTGTGGATTTTGACCCCGCACATTGGTCGTTTGAGATTAGAAAGTCAGTATTTTTTATAGCTCTTTGAACTCTAATTTTTAATTTTAAGATGGCGTCTTTTTTATTTCTTTACAATCGTTGTTGTTTAGGAATTATTCAAGTTTAGAAACGTATTTTTGAGTTCGATGTAAATGTTTTGCCCACGCTAATAAAAAATGGACCCATGAGGATATTTGCAAGCTCATTGAAGCTTACAAACTGAATTCAATTCTTTTGGGACATCCAAAACTCAGATTTTAAAAATAGTTTTAAAAAACCTTGTGATGGAGAAATTTGTGACAGACTTCAATTGTACGGTACCCGAAATTAATCTGAGGCAACCATATAGAAGCCCATGAACAGAATTGCTTCTTGCCATGTTTTTGTTTTTAAAATTATGGGCTAATTCTAACAGCAATTAAACTTCAACACTTGAAAATCTGCAAAAATTCCTAAATGGCTGGGCGTCTTCCCATTCAAAAGCATGGTACATGCCTAAATGATAACCCCTTTGTGTCTGGGACTTGACCGGTCTGAAGCGTAGTTGCAAGAGTTGCCATGCTCTCCGAGAGTGAACTTCGGTGAATTTCACTCTCCCGTAAAACGGGCTCTGAGAGTAACTCTCGAGCTCCGGCTGCGAGTTCCTCTCATGTGTAAACGCACCTTAATATTATTTTATGGCATTTATGTTGTAAGAGAGTTTTCTTTTATATTTAATTTAATTTGTCCAATTGAGCAGTTTATGAATCTGTTGGATAGTATTGCTCTGTTACCAAGTAATTTATTAATTAAAAGTTTTCAAATATTTATCCAATATTGTTTAAATATTATATTAAATTATAAATAAACTTACTTTATAATAATGCTTCTTTTGATATAAGATTCAATTGCGAGGATCAAAAAATGTTAAGCCAAATTTATTGCTATTTCTTTAATTCTTTGCGTTATTTTTTGAGTATTTGTGTTTGTATGTGCCCTTCTAAAAAGAAACTGTATAAATACAGTTTAAAAAAGAAAAAAAAGTAATACTTTATAATCATATTGAACTTTTAATGGTGGTATCGAACTCAAATATTTATGTACAAACAAGATTTAGAAAAAGGAATATTTCACCTATCTTTGTGGTTTCTTTGTTTTACTCTTTGAAGCGATTACAAATTATTTATATCAAAATTTAATCTGATTCTTTCTAATTAAAGAACTTCAATTTAAAAATCCAAACCAGAGGTGAATGAAATGAAACGAACGAATAATGAAGCAATAAAACATATTAAAAAAACTTTTGGAGGACAAAATTGCATATTAACTTTTATATTTAACATTCGTTTGGACTTTCTGTCATTTTTCCTCCAATTCCTATAGCTTATTGACTTGTTCTAGCAATTTTAAGTATTTGTTCCCAACTTCAACGCTGTCTTTTTAATTTTTTTTTTTTTTAAGTTACAACAGTGCTAGAGCTGATACGAGCAACTTTGTTGCCTATATGAATTTTATACGACAAGAAATCACTAGGGAAGAAATTGTGAGGCCATTAGCACTTTAGGCATCTTACCTTAGAAAATTTTTGGGAAGGGTTCAGGATATGCGGTCTCTGTTTTATGGAGGCGTCTATATCAACTTCTTATGGTTTTGAACTCAATTGGGATTTCAAGGTGTGGATAAGACAGGATACGAATTAGGGAACTTGGCCAATAGTTCAACGGATTTCGGACTGAATCAACTGGATATCAGATGCATGGAAAGGAAAGCAGTTGTGTTAGACAGGCAGAGAAGGTAAAGAGTGTAGGTGATTTTCTGATATTTGGTTTTGTTAAGTCTGATCCTCCACTTTTTCAAACCATTTTTCCAAACAGGAGAAATAGTAGAAGAAAGTTCTGAAGGCCTCATATTATTTTTTACATTAAAATTATTCTAAAAGCAAAATAACATCTTCTTGGTCCACTGTATCAGTTTGTTTGCTTTATAAAAAAACGAAAGAAAAAAAAAACCGATGGAAAAATTTAACACCACTCAATTTATTTAGTTTAAAATTAAATCCATTTATCTTTCTACATTAGTTATAGGTATTAGGAGCTATCATAGTCAAAGTAAACTGTAAATAATGCTTTGTTTACGTCCTTTATTTACTTTTGTACTGATTAATCCCATTTGCACAAAAAGTAAAACCTATTTTTGGTATGCAAAATATGAATAAACCAAAACACATTAAAATTTAAGGGTGCGTTTATTTTGTCCATCAGTGAATATTTTAAAACTAAGTATTATTTGGTTTTGGGCAAAATATTTTTTTTAAAATTAATTAATTTATTTTTATTGTTAAGTAACAAAGTTATTTTATTGTTATTTATTTGAATTTTATCTTTCTGCCATTGTTTCTAAATTCATTGTTATTTGCTTTAACTTTATTACCATTTTTATTTCATTATTAATATTCAAAAACAAACCTTGGCTTCATTTACATAAAGAATAATTAAAGCAGCAATTTAATCTTGATAATAAATTGTGAAACTTGTTTGAAGTTGATTTCTCCAATTAGTTATCAGCCTTAAATTAAACCTTGAAATTTATTAATTTAATTATTTTCAAATTATTTTAAAATGAATTAATGTTGTCTTGTCATTTATGTGTTTCAATGCTCATTGTTCGGGTTGGTTTGGTTAAGTTATGTTAGGTTAATAAATAATGTAAGGGGTAAAAAAAGGACCCTACAAGCAACCAGTTTGGCAATAAGTCAAGTTATTGTACTGTCCTTTTTTCAATTTATGTTTTTATGTAGTGCCAATTAGAAACTTATGGTTTGTAAAAATATTAAATAATTTTGACATTTTTATGACCGTAGGTCATAGAAAGAGGATGACATTCATGAAGGAATGGTTGTGGATCGTACCGATACTGCCATTTTGCTTTTGTGGAATACTCTACCCGAGGGAGTCGGAAAATCGTGAGGTCAAGTCACTCAATGGAGTCTGGAAATTCCGCCTGTCAAAATATCCAAACGAAGGATATAACAAACATTGGTATAGTTATCCATTAGAAAAGGTACTGATAAAAATGGTTTAAAAAAATCAAGATTTCTTCAACCCATCTGTTAATTTGTAGACTGGAGATGTGATAGACATGCCTGTCCCAGCTAGTTACAATGATATAACCGAGGATAAAGAGATACGAGATCACGTTGGAGTCGTCTGGTATGACAGGACCGTGTACGTTCCAAAATCCTGGCAAGAAAAAGGTCAAAAGGTTTGGATTCGGTTTGGCAGTGTACACTATTATACTGATGTGGTGAGTGGTTGATAACTTGGTGACATAACAGTTTCATTTTTATAATTTCATCTTTCAAGTGGGTTAACGGTAATAAAGTAGTAACCCATGAGATTGGCCATCTTCCATTTCAAGCTGAGATCACTGAAAACCTACATTTTGGGCAAAAGAATTTAATAACTGTTGCTGTTAATAATACGTTAAATATTGAAACTATTCCTCAAGGACAAGTACAAGAATTGTACACGTAAGTCTGCTCAACTTTTGTGGACATCATAAAACATTTTCATTTTATATAATTTATGAAAGGTTGAATGGGACAAAACAAGTGCAAACTTACACCTTTGACTTCTTTAACTACGCTGGTATTCACCGTAGTGTCGTTTTATACACGACACCAGCAAATTACATCCAAGACATTACCATTTACACAGAAATCGCTAGATCAAATGGTAAATTATGTTTAATCCATTTAAAATCTAAACTTTCATAATTAATTCTGTTAAATTTCAGGGCTTGTGTATTTTAACATTACGTTTTCTAACCCTCCATCCCAAACATTCTTGGGCCACTGCTACATAAACTTGCTCGACGCAGAAGGGACGATTGTGGCCACAATTTCAAAGGATATTCAGAATACCAACGAATATCTGGGGAAGCTTGATGTTCCAAATGCCAAATTTTGGTGGCCTTACTTAATGGACTCAAACCCTGGTTACCTTTACACATTTGAAGTAAGTAATTTATATAATTTTTTTCTGAGGGAGGGGGATTGGGGAAGGCTGTGAAATTTTTCCATTGACAGTGGATTTTTAACACTACTGCATTTTATCCATTTACTTGTTTGGAGCATAGCATAATTTTTGAATGTTTTAGCAAACTAGTTCAAAGCTCATGATTTTATTGGCTCTTAAACAAGCAAGTTTATAAAACCCATAGATTATAATTGCACATTAATAGAGGACAAAACTATGGTATTACTCAAAGTTTAATAGACCAACTAAATGAACAAAACTATATGTATAAACTGTACACATTTCACCTTCTACATCATGAACGTCTTTTGGTAAAAATAAAAAGTAAATCTCATAAACTATCAAATGTGACATATTATATATACATATGTTGACATATCAGTAGAAAACCTGTTGCGTATCAAGGGCACAATCGATAGGTGGCCCGCAGAGGACCTGAAGGGTCATCCTCACCCGATTAAGGATAGGCCATGCAAGGTTGACACTCGGACATTACTTTTGGGCCTAAGCATGCCAAGTTGCTTTTGGGCCAAGTGTCTGGCATGCCAACAACGTTTGCTCAGTGTATCCCACCTAATTGAAGGGTGCAATTCACTGACTATATAGAGTATGGAAATACTATCCAATATGAGAATTGTACTTGAGCATGGTAGCAAGTATCTGGGTCCCCTGTTTTGTTTCTTGAAGAAAACAGGATTGTTTTGCTTGTCCTTGTATTATGTGTCGTGTAAGATGACTTCTTGAGAGTAAATGTATTTATTAGTGCGAATGTGTAGTGTGAGAGGGTCAATGGCGGAATATTCAGTACCATATTGACCCTCAATTAGGTTAGTTATATAATAGGTGTAAAGGATGATACAATGGTGGAATATTCAGTACTCTATTGACCCCCAATTAGGTTAGTTATATAGTAGGCATAAAAAGTGATCAAGGAATATCGAGTACTCTACCACCCTAACTGAGTGAATGTATTTAAGAGTGAGTGAGAGTGTGAATGGGCTTGAATCTGGCAACTGAGTGTGTTGGGTGCTGAAGTGACCTAGCTGTTGATAGCAACCCCCCCTATACAACAAAATAAAGGATCATCAGTAGAAAGCGAGAAGTGATAGGCACTTTGGGCAGATTTGTGCTTATATAACCAGTAATCAAATGTGTTGATAAAAAAAAAGCTCTATAATATTACATTAGCCTTCAAATTACAATAATTTTTAATATTTCAAAACAAATACGGAGAGACAAAACTATTTATTATTGCTGCTCCTCCGACCATGCTGTTTACTCACTCTTTTTCCTCTATTATCATTCCGTGCCATTCTATTCTCTAAAATGTCTTGTCATTCAGATTTCAACAACGATTTGAACAAAAGCGACGATTTATTTTTCGGTTGTCTCAGCAGAAACTATCCTACCTATTTCTTCCTCTGTCCTGGAATGTAAATTCAATGTCACAATTCAACACAACTTGCTAACTATAATTTTTATAATTATTAACTAATGATTATTTAGTTAAGAAATATTGAGTTTGCATAATGAATGCGTTAGATCATCTCTGAGAAAGACCAGCATGATCAGAGACGATCAGATTACTTTTTAACACCATGGTTTACTCTAAATTGTAGCTTGCTTACATTGGAAAAATGGTATCAAATAAGAGAAGTAATGATAAAATTGATTACTTCTCTATTCTCTATTATTTTATCATTTTAACCCCAATGTTATCATTATTTATGACAATAATTTTTTAAAATTATAATAAGCCTATCTATTTATTATAAACAAATAGGACAAATACAACACTTATTTGATGTGATAATTAAATTGCAACAACTTTATGCTAACATTACAATGTTAATAATTAATAACTACACTCAATGTTGCTGTATACAGATAAAACTGAAATAAATTAAAAATTATTGCACAAACAACTAGTTATTTCCTAAACAGGTTTAAAATATTTTGGAGCAATATTGCAGACAGATCTTTCACTATTTACCTCTCTGCACACGCACACATTTAAAGCCGGCATCATTTAAGATTATGTATAATATTTAAGAACTGTAATTTAACTATACAGGCTAAACAATGAATCTGAATACCTTCAGCCTGAAAAAGTTAGTCAATATTTGTTTTAACTAAATTTCATCATAACAACTACTGATTGAATAAACCAACCAACTGTGAAATAGTTTCATTAGAAATACAGACACAATAATTACAAAAAAATATATTTAAAAAAAATAATACTTACACTTTGGGTCCTAGAAAGTAAACAATTATACATCTAGATTATACTTTCGATAAATTAATGTTGAACCATGGTCACCATTTTTGTTTTATGAAAGAAAAATTAAACTTACAGCTACTGATGAAGTCCGTTTTTCTCCCTTGTGGTCCTTCTAAGTATATAGACATGAAACATTTAAATTAGTTTGTAGTATAATGTACATAAAAAAAAGAACAACATAGTAAAAAATATTTTTCCATCAAAACAAAAAAAGAGTTGGAACTTTAAAACTTACTGTCACGTTTTGACCGATTAATAAATATTTAAACAAACCTCAGAAGTTTTTCGTCTTGAATTGATCTGAGATGGCGATGGAGTCTGAAATTTATGATGAATGAAAGTTAATAAATTATATATAAATTAATTAAAATAATTTATATATGTATACATTTGTATATATATTGTACATATTGTATAAAATTTATTTGGGATCTTTAATTTGAAGAAAATTTATAATTATTTAGTAGTTTAGTTTAGAAGCAATAAAAAAATTATTAATCATGCCGGATTATTATTATTATTATCATCTAAAAAATGAATTTGTCATTTAGTTGTTTAATACATGAGCAATAATTCGTTATAATAATTCTCAACCTGTATGCCTCCTGACGTTGAAGCTTTCTTGCTTGAATAATTTCTGTGGGGTGAACCCTAGTTTAACAATTAATTAGAAAATAATTAACCGTTTATATTTGAAAATATTGTTTTTCAGTTGTCTTCAGCTTACAACTAGTGGTTGTTTTGTTTAAATCTTACCATTTTAAAAGCTCGTTGTTGATTGATGGAGTTGATCTGTAAATATAAATAAATAAATATTTTAGTGAGGTTTGCAAGCTGTAACTTAATAATCTCTGATCATTATGTATCTGCCAGATATAAGCCTGTCATCCTCTGTAGTTGGTCAAGTTGTAAAGTTGAATTCTTTAAAATGTGTGGTGTTTAGTGACCGAAAACAATTTCCAAATAATCTTTCTTTAAAATATTCATATTACATTATCCATTGAATGCAGGAATACCTGCCAGATTTAAAAAAAAAAAACTAAAAAAAAAAAAAAAAAAAAAAAAAAAAAAAACAGAATGTAAGACAAGAAATGTGTGGACAACAAGGATAATCAGGAACGATCAAGTAATAACATTTAATATCTCTTACTAACATCATACTGACTCGGACGAAATCCAGGATGTACAAATCTTGGATCTACTGCCTGTAAACCGAAAAAATGTTGATCACCACCAATGATCAATTTTTCATTACAAATATTTAACTTTAAATGCAACATCTATTTTGGCTTTAATTATTACTTACACTGTAAGATATTTTTCTATCGTGGTCTGGATGCTGAAAATATCAGTTTAGTTCCCTGAATTATGGTAATTTATAATAAGATGACTTACTGGGGATTTCATTCTGCTGTCCTTCAATTTCTGTAATCAAACAGTTCAGTAAATAAATGTGAATATGCTATCATATTAATAGTATTTTTAACAATATTAATAAGTATAAAAAACTATCTACATATTTAAAATATTTATTTTTGTTAAGGCCAACTAGTTCAAAGGTAACTAATTTTTCATTATAAGTATTTAACTTTAAATGAAGCAACTATTTTTGAAAGTTTTCTTTAATTATTACTCACCCCAGAAGATATTTTTCTTTCATGGTCTGAACGCTGAAAATATTAGTTTAGTGCCCTGAATTTTGGTAATTTATAATGAGATGACTTACTGGGGATTTCATTCCATTGTCCTTCAATATATCCTGCAATAAAAAAATACAGTAAGTATTCAGTAAATAAATGTGAATGTGCTATTATATTAATAGTATTTCTAGCAATATTAATAACCATAAATAACTATCTACATATTTAAAATGTTCACTTTTGTTAAGGCCAACTAGATCAAAGCTACCTAATTTTTCATTATAAATATTTAATATTAATCCATTTATGTTTTAGTGGTCAATTGACCAAGTTACTTCTTTCAATTAATTATTCTTTTTATGTAAAATTTTGGTTGAGATAAACAAAGTGTCACGAGTGAGATTCGAACCCACGACCTTCAGACGATCCTCTCGGACACCAACTCTCCATCTCAACCTACAACCATTGGAATTTTCCCTCTTTTTGCCATTTTCAAATGTTGTGTAATCAGGATTCGATTCTCAGTGACTTATGAAGTGGCAACGGGGAGCTATTAGTGAAGTGATACTTCTTTTATTTATTAAATATTAATCATTTATGTTTTAGTGGTCAATTGACCAAGTTACTTCTTTCAATTAATTATTCTTTTATGTAATTGTAATGGAAAATTCAAACAGTGGTAGGTTGAGATGGACAGTTGGTGACCGAGAGGATCGAAGTCATAGCTCAAGTGGTAGAGCAGTGACGCGTTTAATCGAAGGTCGTGGGTTCGAATCCTGCTTGTCACACTGACTTTTTTATCTCAACCAAAACCTTACATAAAAAGACTAATAATTGAAAGAAGTAACTTGGTCAATTGACCACCAAAACATAAATTCTAAGCAATTTTAAACATCTATTTTGTAAGTTTGCTTTATTACTTACACCATAAGACATTTTTCTTTTGTAGTGTGAATGCTGAAAATATCGGTTTAGTGCCCTGAATTTTGGTAATTTATAATAAGATTACTTACTGGGGATTTCATTCCGCTGTCCTTCAATTTCTGTAATCAAACAATTCAGTAAATAAATGTGAATATGCTATCATGTTATTATTATTATTGTTATTAATTTTTAAGGGCGTTTTAACGGCTAAGGTCACGCCCTAACATCCAAACCTTCTTAGGTTAGCTATACTTTCTGAGTGTTATAAAGCTCAGATTCCAAACATTCACTCATAAACTATTTATCCTATTAAAAAATTTATCCTATTGCCATCGCTATATAATTTATCCTTTTAAAATTCTTAATTTGGAAGGCCAAATGTATGCAAAAATCCCATTTTAAAATTACATATAAAATTTATTCCTGTTTTTTTAAATTAGAATTTTGAATTTTTGGTCCATAATTTAAACATTTCCCATAGGCTTGTTTGGCTAATAATAATAATAATGGAGTCAGACTAGCAACAGCTATCATATTAATAGTATTTTTAGCAATATTAATAACCAGAAAAAACTATCTACTTCTTTAAAATATTTGCTTTTGTTAAGGCCAACTAGTTCAAAGCTAATTTTTCATTATAAGTATTTAACTTTAAATGAAGCATCTATTTTTCTAAGTTTGCTTTAATTATTACTCACCCCAGAAGATATTTTTCTTTCTTGGTCTGAACGCTGAAAATATTAGTTTAGTGCCCTGAATTTTGGTAATTTATAATAAAATGACTTACTGGGGATTTCATTCCACTGTCCTTCAATCTATCCTGTAATCAAAAAATACAGTAAGTATTCAGTAAATAAATGCAAATGTGCTACCATGTTAATAGTACTTTTAGCAATGTTAATAACTATAACAACTATACATTAATAATGTTTATGTTCATGTTCTGCATGATCAATCACAATCAAATGTACGACCAGTAATCTTTTTCCCCAAGCAGGCATTGGTTCAAGTAAAAAATTAAAATAAATTAATTAAACTAAAGGTAAATGCTTTATGAAGAAACGCACATATTTATAATGTTTATTTTTCTTAAGGCAAAGTTGTCTCAAGTAAAAAATTAAATTTAATTGTAAACATAATTATAAGTAAAAATGGAATTGCTTAATATGTAAATCATAATGAATAAAATGCATAAATACAAATAAATTCTGCTTTTATTTTGGAAAAAGATTTACAAGTGTAAATTGATAAAATTACATTATGTACATAACTAACACGGCAAAATAAAGGGCTTATCATCCAACAACTTTGGTTTCATGGATGACGGAACAACTCTACAGTAGATTTTCACTATGGCTCTAGATTTCACCGCTTTCATATTATACATCTTTTTTAATCTATTTTAATTCGGTTGCTCTTTTGTGTTTCATTTAGTCCATTTATTGTTCAATGAACTTACGAGATTTGTCTTGCCTAAGAACAGATCGTGTAATAGATAGTGCTAATGTTTCATGGTTGTCTTCTGCCTATTTTTACAGGGGTATTGCAACTATGAGGTTAACAACCCTTGAATGCAGGTGTTTTTGAAAAAACAAAAATATAACATTTGAAAGGATCTTCATTCCCTGGGACCTTCACTTTACAGTGATGAACGATGTCAATGCCTAAACTGTTGTGGCCACCAACACCCCAGGTGTTGCCCCTTGAGCATTTGACTCTTTTCACAATTTTTTGTTTGTTTCTTATTCTCTGCATTGTACATGATTTTGACCGATAACTGAGTACCATGAGGAAGTTGTGCTCAACTTTTTTCCTTCAGACTTTTAAAGCCGTACTTCTTCTGAGCCAAATGAATATTTTTTCGGTGTTGATTTATTTTTAAAGTTTTTCATTGAAGAGAGCTTCTTTATAGGATTCCTTTATTTGACACTGTCACTTAAATAATTGAAATAAACAGTAATTTAAAACAGAGGAATGCTGTTTAAAAAGCGGTTTTTCTCATAAGAAAAGCCCTAATCCCTAAGACTTATCCAAACTAGGCCAGAGCCATGCCAAACAAGATACGATTTTATTAATCTCTGCCCAAACTTTTATAATTTAGAAATAATAAAGCAGAGGTTGAAAGTCAAATTAAATTACCATTTCTTTTAGTAAGCCTTCTATGAAAATAGGGTCAAATTCCTGTGAAAGAAGAAATGATTGTTAGATTTGTTTAAAATAAATTTTAATTTTTTTTAAAAATTACACTTTCGATATCACCACTCATGTTCAAAGAGTTCTAGAAAAATAAAATAATTCGGTTAATAAAATGGTCGTGTTAAGTATCAATTTTTCTTAATTAATAGACACTTTAGCACAACTTGAGCCGTAATAAAGGGAGGCACTCGACCGTTTCAGAGTAGGCCATACAGGGTTGACATGATTTGACACCCAAGTTCTCAGTTACAACATTCTAATGTATTAGCAATATCTATATCCAAATACCTAAATAAATGATCTTGTTTGTCAGACACAGGGTTTTTATTATTATTTAAGTGAATTTGAAAAACTTATATTTTCTTATATATATGTAATGCACTTGCATGAGAAAATAGCTAAATAGAAAATAGCACACAGACCTACTGATGACAAAATACAGAAACACATCTGACTGACAGAACCTAATCTGACCAGGATGGGCAAAAATAATCAAAGTAAATTGTATGTTTCTATGAATGATGATTTGAAATGACCCAGATTAAAAAATTGTATTGATATATTCACCTTTGAATTTTCTGAGCCAGAAGCATTTCTTAACTTGCCTGATTGTTTTTTGATGTTTGGATTCTAATCAATTGAAAAAATAAATAAATTTAAAAACCAATTTGTAAGCGGATAAAGATATTTCAGGGTTGGTCGATAAGCCTTACCTCTTTTCTGGCCTGGTGTTGATCAAGAGACAAGATCTGTAATTACAAAATGATGCAAATCATAAAATAAATTTCTTAATAAATAATATATTTCATCAAAAGAAAAATTAATATCATACTAACGTTATACTGACTTGGACGAAACCCAGGATGCATAAACCGTGGATCGACTACCTATGGACCATCGTATGATTGAAAGGCATATTGTAAAATATTAAATTATATTTATCAAAAAATCTCGCTTCAATTGAACTAATTCAAAAGTTTAATCAATCTTAATTGTGTGCTGGTATAAAAATTATATGATGCTTTACCTGAAAACTTTTCAACCTTGTTTGACATAATGGTTTTTCCTGATGTCGGCTCTGAAATGCGTATATGTTTGTGTGTAGGTGATACGATTTTACAAAACAAAATATACGTTTTACAAAATGAAAACTCACTTTGGACATTGGTTGAAATCCAGGTTTGATAAATCTAGGATCTATCTGTACAAAGTATAGGATGGCAACTTGTAATGAAAAATGTAATGGATATTATTTAATTACACTGTTCAAAGTTTTACTCACCTCAGCAATACTAGAAGATAAATCTGTGTTTTTCGATGAAAATTTCGACTGAATATAGTTAAACAAAAAAGTAGTATAAATAAATAATTAATATATACAAAATCATGTTTAATAATTAAATGACAAGTTTTCTTTGTATCTACTAATAAAGGCTGTTATATGGTATTCAGATTCATTGAATATTTGAACTTTTTTTTTCAAAAAATAGCACAACACTAATTATAAATTGTTTGTATAATTACTTATAACTTATAATATAATAAAAAATATATATCTACGCCTTAACTACAGATTACACGTTGGCTAAACTAGGAAATATTTAATATATTGTATATTAAATATTTATATATTATAAATAATTGTGTTTTTAATGACATAATAAGAAAGTAAGTTAATCACTTACCAAAATGTGTCTGCAATATTGCTCACAATCCGAAGGCTATTATTTTCTCTCTGATTTTCTGAAGATGATAAAACCTTAGATTTAATCGTAGAAAAGTGCTGTTTTATTGACTCATTTAACTTATAATTTAAATGTATGCCCATTTTTGTTTAAATTTGATTAAAATATTAGCTCACATTAAAGAAAGTACACCTATTCAAAAATGCACTTATATAACAGACGTATAACTGATTCAGTTATATTTTTTAAGTCAATTAGTTAAAATGAAATTATTGACATCTGACAATATTAGTGACAGCCCAAAAAATTGTAAGGAAAATTATAGAATAAAAAAATTAAAACACTAATCAAAGTAAAAACTGATCCAAAAAAGAGAAAAAAATATATACTTGTTTAAAATTTTGCTCTTGTTTTGAATGTCTTCTAGACGGTGGCTAAAATCAAAAATATTCAGACAAAGTAAATTAAATGAAAACAAAAAATTATAGATAATTTAAATTAATAAAATAAAAATTACTCGTTTTGAACTAGGCCCATCATCCTTAACAAAATAAAGTTGCTAAAACAAAAAATTTGATTTGAAGTTTGAGAATTTCAAAAGAGACAAGAAAACGGTCGTACTTACTTCTCTATTTTGTGGGAATATCGGGTCATAACCGGCACGAAGATCTCCAGAATCAATCGCATGTAAAGGGTTGTCAGAGTCATCATCACTTCTCATGTCCGATTCCTTAGAATTTTCAAAAAAAAAAAAAATCATACATTTCAAAAATCACTTGTGACAAATGTAAACTTACAATAATTGGGTGCGGTGTTATATACCCTGGATCTGGTGGTCGACTTTTACCAGGTGGTTTACCCTGTAATATGAATTAAAAAATCCAATTTAAAAAAATGTTTTTTTATTTTTTTATTTGAGTCTTGTATGAAATAACTCTTTATCGCAACATAAGAAAAGGTTTAATCAAAGTTATTTTTAGTCATGTAACTCAATTATTATGGCGTTTGGTTCTTACCACTTGCGATTTCCCGTGTGGCTGCATGGACTGAGGTTGTTCCAACGGTTCAATGGCCTAGCCCAATATAACATTAAATTAAGACAAAATGCATAATTTTAAGTTTTAGATTTATTTAGAAAACAAAACGCAGGTTCTGAAATTTTATGTTACTGCCAATATAAGAATGACATAATTGTTAATATATCACAAATCAATGTAGAATTGGATTAACTTATCAAAACATTTTATAAATGCGAAAGTACAACCTTGGAGAAATACTTAATTTAAAATAAAACTAATTTTGGTTATTAGTTAATAACAAAAGTAAATAAATTATTTTAATTAAAAATTCCAAATTTATTACTTTTTAAAAATATACTTTTTAAATTTAAACCATGTTCTTTAGTGTTTAAACTGTATATGTTTATTCCTTCTGTTTTTACTTTGATTATGGTTCTTATTCAGTGATTGGTTAAGCGCTGATTTATGCTGTTTAATCTGATGCTGTTGCAGCTCGTCTGCTAATTTTGTTTCTGGTCGTACAACTCTATTTGTCGGTTTTGAAATGGCATCGCTGTGCCTCTTTGCCTTGTAAGGCTGAAAAAGCGCTGAGCGGCTTTCTTTAATTTCTCTCTTCTGCTCATTCAGAGACAGCTTCATCGAATTCCCATCACCCTTCGCATTCTTAGCCAAGTGATCGTAATGGCTCGGATAAGACATACGATTTTCAACTGGTGGGTTAGTCTGAGAAAGTAAATTTTTAATTTATTCAGTATAATAATAGATTTTTAAAGGCTTACTGAAGTAATGATCTCAGGTTCTTCGACATGCATTAAACGATGCCCTATAGGAGCCTTGAAAACCGATAGTATTTAGTGCTACACTAAATAATAATATTTAAAACTTACAGGAGTTGGTTCTTTGATTATCTCTGGCTTGGGAACAACCTTAGGACGATCTGGATGTTTGAACTAAGGGAACATGGATTAATAATATATATTCACTTTATAACAAACATATTCTGTCCTACCTCTACTTTGGAGGGTTTTCGATGTGAACTCATTGTCTTATGACCTACTACAGGAAAAGATTCTTTTTTCTAATAGAATATTATTATTTTTTTAATTTTAATATTTATAAAATCCAATAGACAGGCTTTACTTACCTCTGGTGGGGGAATCGGTGGTACTTTTTTCTCTCTAACAACCTACATTTCTTATATTTTTGTGTGTTCAAAATTTTATTTAAATTTGCTTACCGGGCGTTTTGGTCTTTGTCGAGACGGATGCACACCCATGTCTTTATGCCCGATGACAGGCTTCACTTCCTCTTTCTATTTACATACATAAAATTGCACTTATGCTGCTTTGCGATCGCTTATAAATTTATCATTACCACTTGTTCTACAATTATTGGCTTTGGACGTATGACCGGTACTTCTCTTTTCTGTCGTGAATATATTTTTTTAACTTTTTGAAAAAATAATAGACATTTTGTCACTTGCCTTGGGTTGCGGACGAAGGTGACTTGCAAAATCTTTGTTCCCTTTATTACTTACCTAAATTGTTTATATTTTCTTTTGTCTTTGAAAAATTTAATTCATGTGTTAGCTTACTGGAGGTTTTTCTGTCGGTTCGCTAGGCTTAATTTCTACAACTCTTTCAATACGCTTTTTTTCTTCTTTTTTCTACTCACATATGTAAAATTGTATTTTTGCTATTTAGTGTTCACTTCTAATTTTTATATTACCACTTTGCGCTTTGGATGTGAACCCATTGTCCTATGACCTATTACGGGTAAAGTTTCTTTTTTCTATCGCAGTTTTAATTTTTTTTTTAATTTCATGAAAATCCGATGAACTGTCTCTAACTTACCCTGTCTTCTACAGGTGGCTGAATGACTTGGGGCCTTCTAATTTGTTTTCTGCCTGTCTAAAATGTTTTCATTTGTTTCTCTCTTTAAAACTTAAATTCAGACCGGCTTACTGTTTTTTTTTGCCGACTCGGGCGCATTCCCATGTCTTTGTGTCCTTTAACAAGACTTCCCTTTTCTTCATATTGCTATTCACACACATAGAATTGCAATTATGCTGCTAAGCAGTCACTTTTAATATTTATCTTTACCACTTGATCGGATTCTAAACCTGTGTAGTATTCGTCTGAAGACACTCTTCTCTTTATCAAAGGAGCAAAATTGTGAAATCAGCTTGTCAACTTTTAAGAATAAAAAGTTTACCGCAAGACTTCCACCTGGATACCATTCCTGGGGTCTCATGTATTCCATAGTCATTGTGGTGTGTCGAATCAGTAGAGTCGCACTTATTGTAGCCAACCCGATTGTTTCGTTTCAATAATTTAAATAAAATGAGTAAAATTTATTTGTTATTGTCTATTTTTTTACATAGAAAAGTAAAGCATTTCTCCAAGTGAAAATAAACATTCAATTTCTTTAATATACATGAAACTTTTGTTTTAAACATTTTTCTCATGTGTTTTTATATTATTTTTTTATAAATACGTGCCAATTTTAAATATTATCGTAAGACAGAATATGAAAAAAAAACTTCCTTAAATGAACCCACTATTGATTTGTGACAATGAAACTTTGTTGTTTTGAGGATTCCATGCTGTACCAGCATTGAAATCCCCAAGGAGGCATCATTTAAAGTTCTAATTATTAACGGAACGGAATTAAACTTAAAAATAATTATTTGTAAATCTTACTTTTGGCGTGAAAGGTCTTCCATTGGCTTTTTGAAATTCCTGTTAATCAAGCAAACATGAGCACATCAGAAGAAAAAATTATACGGTGATTGTTAATTATGCTTAGCGGCAGATTCAAAATGAAAACAAATTTAGTTTTAATCTTTTACTTACATAAATAATTCTTTATGAAAAAAGAGATTCATAGGACCAATTAACAGTTTACCTAACTATATTGATGTACATAAAATGATATTTTGAAGTCAGCATTTTATAAGAAAAAAAAAATTTCCAAATTAAGTTTAATCAAAATAGATTCAATTAAATTGTTTTTAATGCTACTGTGCTTCTGAATCAATTATGAGTTGATAAAATGAATTTCTTTCTCACTGATCTTACATGGCCACAATCATGCCATCATGAGGTCAAAACTTAAAAAGTCTAATCACTAACCAATACTTAATTTGATAGCGCAATAAAAAAAAATTGGCCAAGAAGAAACAGGGCGAATTTTTTTCTTTGTTCTTAAATTAAGACAACTTTATAATTGAGGCATTGTTATACTAGTAATAAGTTATAATTTTTTAATCACACCCTGAGGTACTGACCCTAAGGTCTATACCTCAAGGGAGTCCACCTACGCCGTTATGCTGCTGGGTCAAGGACTCCCCTTAAGCCAAATGCTCCGGGGAGGGGGTCTTTGATACCTGACCAATGAACTTAGGTTCCAGCGGCTTACAGCTAGGTAATTTTAGCCTTGAACGCCTGCAAAATATAATCTAGCTTAAACTAACACAAAGTACAATCGCACAAATAAATACATTCACACCTATGTATGACTCATTTTGGCTGCCAGTTGAGTACTTAGGGTCAATTGGGTACTTTTATAAATATTACACACGACTGGAGGGTTTATGCTGACTATATTTCAACATCGGCTCCTCACATTCTCACCAATAAATACACGCACTCAAACAAAAGAGAACCATGAACTGAAACTACTTATGACTAAAAAATGTATTCTTCAATTCACCCATTTGTTTTGCAATCTTAACCTTTTTTTTGCAATTAGCAAATAAAATGTATTAATAATAATCAATCTTTATGCAATAAAATAAAGTGATGTGCTATTAGTTTGAAAAAAAAAAGTAAATGTCAAAATGAGTCTAAATACAAAATTAACAGAGCTGTTATTATTTGAATTACATAACTGAATATAATTGAAATAATAATTGAATATTATTTTCATTCGAACAATAATCAACATATTATTTTGGAACAATAAAAAATAATGTTGTTTTTTAATGAAGCCATTGTATAAAGATGTTCTTAACTTTTACAAGAAAGCCTTTAAATAAATTTAAAATTAAACTTAAATTTAATTGTTTATATACAAGATGGGTAAAACATAAATAAATTAAGTTATGTAATTCAAATTTGTTTCATATTGCTATTGTTTTTATACACTTCATTTTGATTTTAGCTCCAAACATTAGAATTTATTTAGTTCGGTAAATTTTTTTATTATATAATATTATTCCCACATATTAACCAAATTTTACAATTGGTGGTAATTTTAAAAGATCATTAGAGATGACTAGGGACAATAATAGTTACAGGCACAGAGCTAAGAACTTTGTACAAATTCACACGGTTTTTGTTTAAATATACATGAATATCTAAATATTAGCTATATTTTGTTTAACAATTTAATTATTATTTAAAAAGAAAAATACTTGTGTGGAATTAACTTACCTCACGGGAATGCGATCTTGGTTTGTACGATGGTGGCGATACATACTCAGTCATCTTTAATTTTTACATTACTGTTTTTTTGTTTTGTTTTGTTAAAAGATCTTTTTACACATTTTTTAAAATAAATGCTTGTTACCTTTTGATAATTTCCTGGCACAACGTACGGGTCAGTGTAGTAGCGCTTTTCTTCCAGATACTCCTGATGACATAAAACGATTAATAATTGTTATTATTTGTTTAAAAACTGCACAATACCTTTGGAGGTGGAATTTTGGTCCATTTAGGTTCATTGGAGTTATCTGCGTCTTGTTGACTCTGAGGAATAAGTTATATATAATAAGTTATAATTAATTCGATTTACTGTAAAAGACTTTTTACCTTTGGATGGTTTTTATCCTTCCTTGTATCATGCTCATTCGGTTTTGCCATTTTCAATACAAAATATCTCTGTCAAGCCTTCAATACTAAAATGTATTTTATGTATTAAGGTCAAAGATTTCTAAAAGAGTTTTATACCTTGGTGTAATTTTGTAACATTTTCAATGAGCAATTTCATTTACAAGTTTTCTTTCTAACCATCTCTCTTCTTCTTTGGGGATTGTGGCCTTGTTTAATACAATTTTTTAAATTTTAACTAATTCTACTGTTGTCTTTACACAATGACACCTTTGGTAAATTGTCAACCTGTGAATTCCAATTTTTAATTTTATAAAGAGCATTTTGGACTTTTAAATTGAATAATGACCACTCTTACATCAACTCTTGCACAGGGTGTCTGTTTAACACTTTTGGAAAACGGAATTCGATTCTATAAATTTATTTTATAAGCATTGTAATTATTTCATATGAAGTTGAATTTATGAGAAAACATTTTTCCCTTACTTGCTTTTCTAAAGTTGAGAGTCGTATTTCAAGAGAGGCCTGAGCCTTAATTAAGTGAGTTAATTTTGTTTCGGTTTTATTGAGCTCTTTTCCAAGTTCATACAGTTTGTGCCTAGTTACCACAGCCGTGCTATCGATTTGATGAACGCTATCCAGTTTCTCTTTCAAGACGGCCAGTTTCTCTAGATCCATCTACGGTTTTAATGAAAAAACTATCGTAGCTAGATTATCATAGATTCAACGGTGCCACAAAAAACAAAAACAAAAAATAAACTATTTTTAATAATTAGTCACAAGTAGGTGCATATCATAGCTACTTATCACAATTCAAAAAGATAAAAATGGAAAACAAAAAACAACTTACACTAGTACTTCTTGGATTTTTTAATCTGGGGTCAACACGTCCGGGTTTTATGGATCGAACTGAAGAAATACAATTCTTGAGGTTGCGTAATGATTTGGAGAGTTGGCAATAATAAACTTACAATATGATTTGGAGAACAGGAGTAGCTCCTGTTGGGTCCCGAAGTGAGCTCTTTCAGCCTTGTTTCCATAGCATTCTGCCCATCCTTCAACACTTCGAGGGCTTTTTCTACTTCACAGAGACCATTTTTCAAAATGGGAATACTGTCGCACGCAATTTCCAGCGTTTCTTTAATCCTGGGTATTTTGTCTGCTATGGCAATGATCTCACTGAGTACCGCATCTTCAAAGATATCGGGCATATTTCAATGCTTAACTACAACCCAGCGTCTCTATGATGAAATATTCAGAGGAGCACGACGTTTGCCTCCCATCTTTTCTACTTGTTTTATTTACATGAATTTTGCTTTTTATTTCTACATGAAATCAGGTGTTTTAATCAACTGCAACAAAATAATGTTTAACTCAATGGAATATTGAAGAACAATATCCTTTTTTTTTTTAAAAGTACATTTTGAACAACTCAGCTCTATTTCTGAGCTTTAAAAATAAGGTTACAAAAGACATCTATAAATTTATGCCTTTAATTTAAAATAGAATAAATAATTTTTAACTCAATGGAATATTAAAGAACAATGATGTCTTTTTTTAAGTACATTTACTTAGCTATTTCTCATTTTCAAAAATTAGGTTTTAAAAAGACATTATCCATAAATTTGTGCATTATAATTTAAAATAGAATACATAATGGCAATTTTAATGACAAATTGTAGTAGAGAAAAAAGTTCACTTATTATTTTAACACAAAATTATATTTTCAAGGAGCGGGCACAAAATTAAAATTTCACTATAACAATAAAATTATAAAAACTGTAGTTAAAAGTTTAAAACTTTTTTTGTGGCTGCTGGATTTGAACCTACCTTGCAGTGATGAGTGCTGTGTCATCATCTTAACTGTTGTGGCCACCGATGTTTAAAACATACCTCCACTATGATTGATTTCTGAGTCGTGTTTCCAATAATGCCCTGTGTTTGTCTGTCAATCTTTTCTTTCAATCACTCACTCTCTCTCCCTCTCTCTCTCTCTCCCTCTCTCCCTCTCTCCCTCTCTCCCTCTCTCTCTCCCTCTCCCCCCCTCCTNCACCCTCTCCTCTCCCTCTCACCCCCTCTCACCTCCTCCCCTCCCTCTCACCCTCTCCCTCTCACCTCCTCCCCTCCCTCTCACCCTCTCCCTCTCACCTCCCCCCTCGCTCTCTCTCTCTCTCTCTCCCCTCTTTCTCTTGCACACTAACTCTAGGAGCATTGGTTCCTCTCTAACCATCCCTATGATGTTACAGTATGGCAGAAGACTCTACAAAAGATCTACATTAAGAAAAAGAGCTTAAGAGTCGAGATGTTATTTCTGCTAAGACTCATAAGGGCTTTTGGATGATATATTACAAAGTGGCACAGTTTATAACAAACGAGGTACCTTTAAGGATGCCAGTGAACAAATAGATTCTCCCTTCAAAACAGGCACATCCCCGTGGGATTACGGACTTTGAGGATAATCCTGTAGAACTTAATGATTTCGCAGAGACATTGTAGTGTACACTGATGCCAACTGTATGAACAATCTGGGCTATGATTTTTCACAATTTTCATGGAAGAATTGTGGCAGAAAGACAGTACTGGCTTGGAAAACTATACAGCAACAATCAGGCAGTATTAAAAGTTAAAATGGCTACTGCACCAAAGTCAAAATAATTTTGAAGAAAAATCGTTGAGAAAAGTTATTAGAACTAGTCAGGTTGCACTGCATTGCAATGATTCCTGTCAGATGTCATTGGTGTTAGAGGTGAGACAAATTTGGGTTGACTTACATAAGCTATACAAACTCAAGAATGAACTTGTTAGCAAAGAAAGCATCAGGATGGGAACATTCCATAAATTAAAAGAAAAATGGCTGCAGAGAGTGTTGAAATTCTTGAGGTTTTTGAAAAAATTGAGGTTCTTCTCAAAAAGGAGCTCATACAAAAGACGCTAACAACTATTTAACATCGAAAGTTGTCCTCCATAATGTCACCTATAAGGCAACACAGGTCATATCCAATCATGGGAGAATGGAGCATATCTCCACAAATTTAATATAATAAAAAGTAATGTTTGTGCCAAAACCTTTGCATCTTGGTATCTGGGCAATGTCTGAACATGAAAGAAGCGAGTTGGTGAAATTCTTGGTTACAGACAGCTTGTGTGGACTTTAAAAAGAGTGATTTGGTGTCAAATGATCAAGATCTGAGAACTTTGTTTTAACAATAGCCTTTGATAAACTATAGTTATAAATCTTCTAATTAATTGATACAAAACAAAATATTGATACAATACAAAACATTAGTTTCTAATACTATACTGTATAGATGTTAAAGTTTTGTAAAAATGTGAGCAAGAAAATGTTTACTTATTTTAGTTAAGAAACTTAAATTGGGAGGTGTTGGTGGTTGCAGTGGTTTAGGCGTTGACCCGGTGCTCATCACTATAAGCTAAAGGTCCCAGAATCGAATCCAGCAGCCCTGCATTCGATCCCGAAATACTTACAAACAGGCTTTTTTTCTCTCTAAAAGTACTGGCAACCCGAGGATTCATACAACCTCATAGTTGAAATACCTTCGTAAAAAAATAAATAAATGAAACTTAAGTGTAAAAACATTCATTTTCAATTATATAGTCTTTTAATGTTAAAAAAATTGATATGTTTTATTTTTCAAACGAAATGCTTGAAATTTTTATAGGGATTGCTTAATAAATAAATAAATTAATTAATTTAAAAAAACTCAAGTGAAAATCTTTAGCTTACAATATTTTTACAGGTCAAATTATCAAGCATTCATAAAGGAGCAGAAATTGAGGATGAGTATCGACTTCCGATTGGAATAAGGACATTAGAATGGACCGATACAAGCTTTTATATCAACAACAAGCCAATATATTTGAGAGGATTTGGAAAACATGAAGACTCAGATGTAATTTTCTGTTGGGGGGAGAAAAAAAAAATATATATATATATAACTGTTAGTCAGTAATTTTCAAGTTTTAAAAATATAATTTTAGATACGAGGAAAAGGACTGGACCTTGCTTTGGTTGTTAAAGACTTCAATCTATTGAAATGGGTCGGAGCGAATGCGTTTCGCACTTCTCATTATCCGTACGCCGAAGAAATTATGGACTTTGCAGACAAAGAGGGCATAATGATTATCGACGAATGTCCGAGTGTTGACACTGAGTAATGAATTTCACTTGTAATTAGTATAAGTATACGAATAAGTAAAATAGTTTATATTCCAATGATGTGTTTCAAAGTGTCAAGAAAAGATGATAACTTTGAATTTAAATTTATAAAAGGATGGGGAAACAATTTCGAAAAAAGAAAGGAAAATATAGGAGCCATCTATCAATAGATACTCTTGCAAGAATACCAAAAGTACAAAAATCGCGTAAACGGAGGTGACCAATACACACCAAATGCACGATGATTCGATATCCCCTCACCATTCTGAGAAAATTTGATTAGACAATTTAGAGGTATAACAGAACAAAATATTCCATTAAGTTCATCTCTCAAGAGCGGGCATTGAGAAGAAATCGAATCATCCATAATAGAAAAGTTTATTGAATAGTATACAATTAATAAATAATTTATTTCAGCCAATACTCCCAAGCACTCCTGGAAAAGCATAAAGATTCACTCACCCAGTTGATAAAAAGGGATAAAAACAGGCCATCGGTCATTATGTGGTCCGTAGCTAACGAACCCAGGACACAATATCCAGAGTCTGCTGATTATTTTAGGTAATTTTTGCCATCCATTGCAACAAATAAAATTTCTGTCAAGAAAATATTCTATTTTCCTCATTCTGAATTTGATTTTGATTTTATAATGAGAAAATAAGCTTTATTTATTTCAGTCACTTGGTCAGTTAGAATTTTACAATTTTATACTAATTTGGAAAGGTTTAGTTTATGAACTATTATTTTAATCTTTAGTATGTACAAATGTTAAATTAAAATTATTTGCAATAATATATTTGAGATGTTAGTATTATTATAGAATTAATAACATTGGGCAAATTTGCTGTTTCTTCTAAATCTTGGCCATTTGGGCAAGTCAAACTAATAGGTCTTACTTTTAATGCTCTAATTGACTGAGGTACCTCTAGATGTCTCAATTTTGAGTTATTTGAGTTTTCTTTCGTATTCTTATTGAGACTTGCATATCAGTATTTCTGCATGATGGATGGAAAGAAAGACAGATTGATGATTGAATGTGAACAATTACTTCAAGTTTTGTTGTTATTTTTTTTATGATAATATATTCTACTATCAGTCTGGCTTATGTATGCAGACACTCTTAATCCAGTTAAGACCGGGCATTTAGGCCGCAGTTTTTCCTTCCAATTTTTTCTTCTTTGAATCTATGTCCAATGTTTACAGCCATTTGGTACACACTATGACCAAATGGGCATCTTGCTATTATCAGTCTGACCTTAAATCCTTGTCCTCATCTTTTTGACATCCTTCTGGATATATTTCAACTCTGAAGGCTACGTCCGGTTGTAATCTTTTTTAAACGAAATTTCCAAAGCCTGGAGATTTTGGTACTTAAGAAGATGGAACTGTGAACAAATAGTTTAATAAAAACAATAATTACTAAAGATTAAATCAGTAAAAAAAAATTAAAGAAGAGTTTTAGAAATTAGGTTAATAAGTATTTATTATCTCGTTCTCATACATTGTCCTTTCTATTTATTATGTGTATCATGATGAGACATAACCATATTCATATTTTCGGTACTATCATAAATTCAAAAATACCCTTCATAGTAATATCAAACTTTTAAATTCAATCACTTCAGCCATCTTTAATATGAACTAATTTATTTTTGACTACTTCTTTTTAGAACTATTAAAGAAAAATACAAGGAACAGTAAGAAAAAATAAATTTAACATTAAAGCAACAATTTACTAACAATTGTAAAGTTATGTAGTATTGTAGATTGTAAAGTTATAAAGTATCTTGCAGTGTACTGTATTAACAATTGTATTAATTAATGTTATTAAGATTTAAGATATTAAGTTGATTAATCTCATCTTCTTTCTGTCTGACAGAACTCAAGAGATTTAAAGGATCATATTCTATCTTCTCTCTTTCTCTCTCTCTCTCTCTCTCTCTCTCTCTCTCTCTCTCTCTCTCCTCTCAATTTCAGCTGAAGTACCCCAAGGCTCTATTCTTGGACCTTTACTCTTCTCCACGTTTCTAAATGATCTTCCATTAGTTCTTAATTTCTCCAAATTTCATCTTTAGGCAATGACACTCAGCTTTACATTCTATGTCCTACAAGCAACATTTCTGAAGCTATCTTTCTGCTTAACCATGATCTTCTATCAAGAAATAATGGCATTCTTTTAAATCCTAACAAATCCCAGTATCCTTAATTGCCAATAAAGCCATTAATATGTATTGCCTATCCTGTTCTCAAATTATCAGCTTCCCTATTAATTTTTGTCCTAAAGTTAAAAATCTCAGCGTTATTTTTAACTACAAGCTTACGTGGCATATGAGCTCTATTATTTAAAAGGTCTACTCAAGCATCCATTCTCTTTGACGCCTTAGCATTTTTACTCCACATAAAACTAGTGTTCTCCTTATTAAATCCATACTAATTCTTTTATTCTCTTAATGTAGTGCTATTTTTTCATTTTCCTTTGACTCTCTTGATTTTAAACAAAGGGATCATATTTCTTCCTATATTAATGTCTTCAACAACCTTAATATTGTAAGCACATATAAACTTACGGTTTTAATACATATATTTAAAATTAAATCAAATAAATGTCCTAATATTGTAAGAAAATGGAAAAAGGAAACAATTTGATAAAGGAAAAAGTATATTGATGCAATAAAAAAAAGAAGGTTGTGATGAAGCCTTGAATCAGAATAGTCTGTTCTTCCGTTCCCTCAGTTCCCTTGTTTCTCCTGGCATCGTTGTTCCAGCTGTGCTGCTGACACGACCGCTAAGCCAGCATGATAACTATCGATTCTGACATGGCCATTCCTGGCGAAAGCTGCAATGAAAGTAACATTGTCAAACAGTTACTAAAACTAATAGCTCAAAGTCCAATTATAGATAAATCAGTTTAAAATTTTCTCCTTTAAATTCATACAATATTATAATTAGTAATGCCACCAAACGGGCGAAATCTTCCTATAGAACCTCTACGACTCAGCTTTCTGATCATTATTTTTTCTTCTTCTATGCGAAGGGAAGGAAAAAAATTATTATTTTTTCTTTTTAAACTAATCTGCATGTAGGAGGAGTTCGCTATAACACTTCTGATGTAAGAAAAATGGAGAAAAGACACAGTTTGATAAAGGAAAAAGTATGTTGACACAATGAAAATCAAAAGAAGGTATGAGGTCCGGTTATGGCGAAGCCTCAAGTCAATAGTCCGTTCTTCCGCTCCCTCAGCTCACTTGTTTCTTCCGACGTTGTTCCAGCTGTGCTGCCGACATGATTGCTAAGCCAGCATGATAACTATGAAACTCGATTCTAACAATTATCTATCACATTTTTCCACATTCCTTATCCACCACCAATCATGTCTTAAGCCTGCAACACTCCTCTAAAACTTCAGCCCTTCAGAATCACAAGGTCGAGACTATGGAATTTGCTTCCCTGGGAAGTTCGTTCTGCTTCCTAGCTTTTCAGATTCATGGCATCTGAATTTTTAAAAACGACATGAATTATCTCCTTTTCTCTTTCTACTTGTCTTTCGTAATGTGGTTTCATCATTCGATTATAAATAATTAATATTTTAAAGAATATATTGTCATTATTGTTTTGCTTATTTTATTATATGTGTTTATAAAACTAATTTTATTTCAAATATATGTTCAAATAAGGGGGCTTAATGCCCTATTTGTACCTATAAAATAAACAAATAAATCAAATATTAATTAGGCTAGTACTAAGGTGAAATTAAATCAAGTAGTTTGGTAGTTAAGAGATAAGTAGTTGAAGTGATATTTTTCCTTTTAATTTTTCTTAATGTAAATCATAATAATCCTGATACTTGACAATGAGAAAACAATGTATTGAAATAATATTTTAGATCTGTGGTGAGCCATGTAAAATCATTGGAAACAACGAGGCCAGTTACAGCTGTCCTCAACAAATTGTATTCCGTTGACCACGCGGTGAGTTGTAATTACAAGAAAAAAAAATGGGGGAAAAAAAAGTTTGTGAAAAGATTTCTTGGTTTGTGTTTGCAAAACTTCTGTACTGTGTATTTTTTATTTGTGAACTTATAGCATGTGGCTTTTAAATTTGATTGTACAAAATGGTGAAAAATGGCGATTTGTGTTTTGTTAGATCAGTAGCGTTTTCAACAATAGTGGGACTGTGTGAGTTTACGCTGTGACATATGATATAAACCAATTTAAACGAATGTATCTAGTAGAGATTTTTTTGATATGTTTAAGTAGTAAAGTTAAATAATAATAATAATAATTTTTTTTTAATGAAAAAACAAGCTAATGCATTTTAAAAACATGTTTTAAATTCAATTTGCATTTCAAATGTAGATCAGTGGTCCAGCATGTGAAATCCCTTGATTACCGACCTGTGACAGCAGCAATTGCTCAAGATGCAGATTATGAGCAAGCAGTGAGTAGTAAAAAAAACCGATAGTCAAATTCCCCTGTCTATTTTCTATCAATTTTTGTTAAATATTGAAATTATAATATATTTTATACTTGGTTTTATCATTGTAACTATTAACATGCATGTCAATAAGATTATTTTTGTTTTTATGGCTGGCTTTTTTGTTTTGTGATGTTTGGGGTGCTAAATGCCACCAAGAAACAGAATCCTAAGAGCAATTTTTATCTAGGGGCAATTTATGGACATCATCGGCTTCAACCGGTATAATGGATGGTACAAAGATCCTGGAAGGACGGAAGTTATTCAACTGAACGTTGAAACCGAAGCTGAAAATTGGCATTTGAAACATAAAAAACCAGTGATGATTATGGAATACGGAGCCGATACCATGCCTGGCCTACATATTGTAAGTGACCGTATATTTTCTTTGTTGATTTAATTATTTTTAGGTTTATTTCGACCCTAATTTTTAAATGTATTCTAGGAACCTGCTTACATTTGGTCTGAGGAATATCAAGTCACCCTTCTATCAGAACATTTCAAAGCTTTCGACAACCTTAGAAACAAAACTTTTTTCATCGGAGAAATGATATGGAATTTCGCCGATTTCAAAACTGAACAATGTAACTACAATTCTTTAAAAAAAAACAACAACAACATAATTTCATAAATTCAATATTCCAGCTACAACAAGAGTCGGAGGGAATAAAAAAGGCATTTTCACGAGGACTAGGCAGCCGAAGACTGCGGCGCACCATGTTAGAAAAAGATACCACCAGCTCGCTCTCGAAATTGATTGCCACGAGCTTCTGGCTGATCTCGAACATTACACCTCTCCAAAATCTCTCGAAAGGAATAATAGAAATGAACTTTGACAACAAAGTGTAACTGTGCCTAAAAATCTACTTCTTAAAGAATAAAGATTGATAGTTTTATATTTTCTCCTCAAATATCAAGTCATAATAAATGTAATGTAAATATTATAATTAATATAATCTAGATAGTTACATTGAGTTTTGCGAGTTAAATTTTGTATTGTTGATACAACTTCATAGAAAATATATCAAATATGTACAACAAGCAAAGTACAAATAAACTTTAAATTCTAACTATTTTTGCTATTAAAAANATATTATAATATAAACACTACTTTATACAAAAACCTGAAATAAGGGTACCTTATAATAAGGGTGAAACCAAATTTTTTTATTACTGAGCTTTTAGTGATTTTATCATCATAATCAGGGGTATAAAACTTTAATTTAATCATTCATCTTTCAGCTCTTTTTTATTATTTTAAAAAAAATGTTTTAACCAACTTATAAAGCAGGTATATTAATGTATACTCCAGTAAGAAAAATATAGAAAAGATGGTGAAATGCTGATACAGTTTAAAGGGCAAAACCAATGTGAACATGCATGCAATTCAGCTTAACAGAGATGATTCTTCCTTGGTAATTTTGATTTAATTTGGTAGTCGGCCTATCCTTGCTGGTCTGTCAGGCGCATTTTGGCATTTTGCTGTCTGACAGATCAACCCAAGAGGGTAGGCAGAGCCATGATGGGTACATTTTACAGGTTCATCACCTCACAAATCACTGGGGGAATATAAAGTTTCAATTTTTATTTAGCTATGCCATAAGCTGTCAAAAGGCGAGCTTTTGACACAAAATTTGTTCCGTTAATTTGTTTTGGCGAAGATAAATCTTTGCACTCGTTTCTCATTTAGCTGAAATTATAATTTTTAAGAAATATATTTTTCACAATTGAGTTTTAATACTGACAATATACAATACGGTACTTTGAACAATTTTCCTTTCAGTGTGTCAGTGACTGCAACAGCATTGACTATAAAACTTAACACTGCAAGAATCCTAACTTCTCGGGTCTGTTCTCAGTGACTCTTGTTTGACACATATGCAATTTTCCAAAATATTGAAAAATCTCAAGTTAAAGCAATTATGTAAATATTGTTGAGAAATAAATAAAAAAACAAAAGTTTTTTGTAAAGATATTAGACTAAGTATTATATTTCCTTATTCTGCTATTATTATTTGATATTAAATAAATGTTACAAATAAAGAACCTGACTCGTTTTTCTAAATTTGGTAAAACATTATCCAAATCAAGATTCTATGAGCGATAATGCACCATAGAAAAATATTTGTAAATAGAAAAATAATCTAAATACCAAAAAAATGAATAAAACATTTTTGAAAAACACTTTTGTTAAATAAATGCATAATAATCAACTTGGATTGTTAAAATGTACATGTCTACTCTTTTTTCTTGTACTGTCAGGACGTTGATTAATTTTTTCATGCTGTTGAATCTGCCGGCGTTGGAGCTCGTCTGCTAATTTTGTCTCTTCGGGTACAATTCTATTCGTCGGCTTGAAAATCGCTTCGGTGTGTCTCCTTGATTGGTGCGGTTGAAAATGCGACGGATGTCTTTGTTCAACTTCACCCTTGTATTTATTCAAATTCAAATTTCCATCACCTCTGCTATTCTTAGCCAAATAATTGTAATCGCTCGGATAAGTGACACGGTGGTCTTTCGGTGAGAGCGTCTGAAAACGAGAAAATTTTGTTTTATCCTAAAATAATTTGATTTGTTATCTCTCACCGAAGAGACGATTTCAGGATGCTCAACATGCATCGAACGATGACCTAGAGGTACCTTTAAAGCCTGAATATTAATACTATACTAAATAATATTTAAAGCCTACTTTAGGTGGTATTGTTTTGGGCAGTTGCCTGCTACCACGTGAATTCATAGAATGATGGCCAATGGAACCTGAGCGTCTCTTGTAAATGGCATCGGATTAATCAATTTTCCATTATAATAATAAAATAAACTTTATTACCTCTACTTCTTTAGTGGCACTTCCTCGTGAACCAATTAATTTATGACCGGCAGGTAACTTTTCTGTTTGCTAATATAAATTTTATTTTTTTAAGTATTGAACATATAATAATCAACTTTTACTCACCCTCTCTCTATTAATTTGGCTTGATATATCTTTGTGTCCTACATTATCTCTACCTGTCTAAGTTGCTATTATTTTTTATTTTGTGTATATTTTTTAAATTCACACTGGCTTACGAACGGTCTTGTGCATGTCGATTCGGATGCACCCCCATGTCTTTATGTCCTTCAGCATGCTTCTTTTCTACTGTTTTCTGTTCATATAGATAAAATTGCATTTATGCTGCTTAATGTTCACTTCTAATGTTTTGTTTTTACCGGTCGGGTGGGTTCTGAACTCAAGTAGTAATGCCCAGTCGATTCCCTTTTCTGCATTAAAAAGAAAGGCATAATTATTTAATCGGCATGTGAACTTTTACGCTGTAAACCTGTAACCTCATGCAGTTCCTTTGGTTTTGTATATTCTGATGTCATGTTGACATGTCCAATTGGTTGTTTCGCACTCATCATTTATAATTGAGATAAAAATTCCGGTGTCTTTCAATTTAAATAAAAAACAATGTGTTTCTTCCAAGTGAAAAAGTTTCTATTTTTTTAAAATTTTTTTCTCATGTGTTTTATATTCATTTTTATAAATATGCCACCTTTTTCAACATTACATTATATTATTATATAAAACAATCTGTCTTCTTTAAATAGAATCTATAATAATTTGTTACATCTTACTACCAGCTTTACTTCCTTTGCTGAAGTTGTCATAGAGTATTTTCACACAGGGGGGGTCACACAGGGATACAGCACGTATGGATTTGTGCACCTGATAACTTTTTTGTCTTACAACACCTTGCATTCATTAAGTGTACATTTTCGAAGTTATTAGCAACAGTAGTTGACTGAAGACATTTCAAAATTTGGTCAAGCAAGGAGCCTATCCTCGTATCTCCAGCACTCTAAGACAATTTCTACTTCCATTTAGCATTGTGGCATAAATTCAATAGCTTAAGAATGAAAGAAGTCCTTATTAACTATTTAATTTTTTTGTATCTACAGTTCTGGTAATTATACTTAAGTTTGTTTTTAATTTTTATGATTGGCAGGAGAAATAAATAAGGGTATAGATTTAAAAAAATAATTTATTATGTAGACATTTTTGTTCCACTCCACCTGCGCCACCTCACATTTATACTTTCTCGTGGATACTCGATTTTGATGCTCTCTGCAAAGTAGAAAATTAGAAACAAATAAAAAAATTATTATTTTTTAAAAACATAATTGATCTATTAACCTTAAACTGATAGCTATCTTTCAAAGCTTTTTTGACAATTACTTCACCTATGAGCATCACTTCTCTGTCCATTAGCCTGCATCCAATTTCCAAAACTGTTCCTTCGCAAGGCCCAAAAATAAATTTTCTAAAAATAATATAAAATTTTCATAAACAAAATATAATATTGTGGTGAGTTGAAGCTGTTTCCGATCATCCTGGCCTGACTATTCTCACTGATTTCGCTTGAGATTCGTTTCAATATTTTGAAATTTTATGAAACTTCGAAAAGGACGCTACTGACAAAAAAAGATAATCTAGATAACTAAACTGCTCAAAAATGCACAGAAATAATGTCAATTTTGTAGTATTTACTTTCCCTAGCATTTTTATTATAAATTGCATGAAAAATTTATTAGAAATTATGTTTTTAATGAAGGAAAATTTAATTTTTTATTGGATACAATAATTTTTTTAAACAATATCATGTATAAATGACCTCTATTAGGTAAAACCTCTGTGTACCTGTTAGGCATACTATTAATAAGGGTGTCACTAATTTCATAAGTTATGTCACTCCATAGATGTTGCAATGTTGCACTCAGTTGTTGCAGGTCAACTGGCTGCAGATGGTGATCGAAAAGACTTCTCTGCAACGCATCCCATATGTGGAGAACTGGGGGAAGGGGCAGATAGGAAATTCCCAGGTTTTCTAAACACTGATGAACAATTCTGCCTCCATGAGGTCTGGCATTGTCATACAGCAATAGAAAAATCCCTGCTATCAAGATCCTGGTTTGAGGGATGTATTCCTTGATAATTACTTGGACATAATGGACTGCGATGAAGCTGTGGGTTGATAAAGGCCTTTCCAAAACATCTTGTACTTCATTTAGGATCTGGCAGGCACAATGGAAAGAATTCTATCTTGCAGCAAGCAGGATATTTCTGTCCTCCCTTAGTGTTGTTATGCGCTGAGATCCACTACCAGGCCTCCTATTGGCACTTCCAGTCTCTCAGAATCGGGCTAAAGCCCGGGAAACCATGCTCTGAGAAACGCGAAATGCCTCTGCGATATCCACTTGGATTAAAATGGCGAAAAGACAAGAATTTTTTTTTTTTAGAAAATGAGTATTCTTCATGTTTACTATTCTTAAGTAAATCCGTTCTTAATAAAAATGAGGATTAACATTTGTTTGTTTTTGGTTTGTATTTTCTATTTTGTTTTATCCAACTTACAAGAATATATCGGTTAATTTAATTAACATTAATAGAATAATAAAACACAAATATCCCTATTCATGTTTGAGCAATTTATATTAAATGTAGATACACTTGAAAATACAAGAACTATCTGTGAAGTAAATTCTATTTCATAACTGGGTAAACTGCCCTAAATTATTGGATTGGTAAAAATTAATGTCCCAAGAAGAAAAACAAGGAATTTAACACCTATCTTCCGACCAAGAAGACTCAACAAATTACAGATATTTAGTAATGGCCGATTTATGTTTGATAAAATAATAATGAATAATAAAAATAATAACTGTATATTCAACTATTAATGTACTATGCATTAAAATAATGTGTTAAAATAATTGTAATGTAATAATGTATTTTGCATTAAAATAATTGTATATTAGCTATGGAAATGTTTAAGGTTATTAATAAAGTTAAAGAATAAATAATAATAATAGTAGTAACACACAAACTGCTCAAGATGATGAATTGACAAAAAAAAAAAAAAAAAAAAAATATATATATATATATATATATATAAATTTTTCAAACCTTTTTCTCCAATGATTGGCCTCATCTGTGCCTGCAGAATAATCCAGTATTTGTTTCCTATATTAAAAAAAAAAAAATAATAATAATCACAGAAGAGAATAAAAACCATTAACAACCTTACTTGCGCACTGAATTCCTGTCTATATACTTAACAAGAACTTCTACTTCACCCTCCTCTTCTCCAAAGTTTTTAATCGCTAATATTATCTCTAATGCGTCGGCAGAATTCAATTTGAAGTCGCAAAAAAACAATCTAAAGGGTGAAAATCAATTATATTTCTTGTATTGGGCAAATGAACAGACTTGACCTTTCAAAATGATCGCTTTTAAGAAGTACGCTGTTCCCTCCATGGTATGCGTCTAAGTGATAATATGTTAAACATGAATATTCGCTGTCGTCTCCTTCCCAAGGGATGATATCTGTCAATTGGAAATCCTGCCGACTTAAGTTATACCAAGGGCCTTCGGTGTATATCTTTAATAGAATAAATAGGGAGTTTTCAATGAAAATGTGAGATTAAATTGAAACTGTTATAAAAATAGTTAATTTGTTAGCTGACGTCTTCTTGGTGATTTGACCCATAATCATTCCTAAGATTATTTTAAAATTTGCAATTATTTTTGAATTGTGCGATAATGCTTTTTAAATTATCTCTGGCATGTCAGTAGATGATTACAAAATTGTTTTTTGTTGACCTGCTTACTATCTTGTTATATAATGATAGAAAATTTTGAATCACCATGACAAAATATTGCCAGCATGAACCTTAATTCTAAAAATGCCTACCTGTCCCTTTGAATAGTAGTTTTTTCCAAATCCAGTGCAAAAGGACGTTTTAAACGGCAACTCCTTAGGGCCGGATACAAACAAGTACGGGTACATACGTTGCCAAAACTTGAAATCTCGTGCAATAAAAGGATCATCTTCGGTTTGACATTCGTGGACCCATCCTGGAGCAAATATCGCAGCAGAAAGGTTGTACTTACGGATCAACTTCATCGCCTACAAAATACAATTAAAATTGAGGCTATTTTTTTATAATTAGAAGTTAGTGTGTTAATTAAAATATGTATTTTTTAATTTACCTTGTGTGAATTAAATCCACCTCCTCCATAACAGCCTCGCCCAAACACGTCGATCCCTACAAAAACATCTGCGGCTCGATTTTCTGCGAATCTTTTGGAAAATGTTAGATTTTCCTCTTTCCAGTTGTAGTTGAGAAAAATGCCATCCGTTATGTCAAAAAATGTACTGCGATTAATAAATTATTGTCAAAATAATATTATAAAAATATGTATACTTGGTAAGTTAATTTACCAATTGTGTCCGTTTAGTTCATTCTGGTAGCAGATCTCACCATTGGGAATTGTCACCGAATCATACCAAATGACTATATTATTGGGGTCGACTTTCTTAAGTTGTTTCCTCAGCTCTTTAACAAGCTCGATAAAATTGGGCATATTCGCCATCGAAATGTCATTTTCGATGTTGAGAAGATATCCTGAAAATTTGTAATGCTTGGCTATCTGGGCAACTTTTACGCAGAAGCTCTCGATGAGTTTATCTTCTTTGAGAAGGTTCTTACAGAACTCATGCCCTTTTTCTCCCTCTGTTATTATAGTGCCTGCAATTTAAAAATCTCAAGAAGTATAGAGTTTTGCAAATATTGGAGTTCATCATCCCACATTTTTTCAAAATATACAATACACATAAGGTCCGGGACAAAAAAATAGCCCACCCAATATTTTTTCTCTTAATCAATTTTAACCATTGATATAATTTTTTTATTTTTATAATTGTTTTTATTTATTTTGAACTGATTTTCTCCATTAGGAACTGAAAAAAAAAAACTTTGTAAGAATTAATGAATAATACTTGATTTAGGGAGAGACAAAAAGATAGCACACTTGTTGTTTATTTACAAACAAAACCAAATCCCTCTGAGTAAACAAGGCTAATTCAATACAGTTTCTGCATTCATGTGTATTAGTGCGATGGAACGAGCAAAACCATTAACACCAGCTGAAAAAAATATCATTCAGCGAATGGAAAATCGAGGATTTTGTATTTCTAGTATTTCAAAAAATACCGGTAGGAGTAGGAAAGTAATTTTAAATTTTTTGAAGTCTCCAGAAATCTATGGGACGAAGAAATCTCCTGGAAGACCACTGGCCTTAACAACACGGGAAAAACGGGCAATTTTAAGGGTTGCATCCAACTCAACTTTAACGGCCCGTCAAATTGCTGCGAGAGCTGGTGGAGTGAAGAATGTGAAAAACGTCCAAAAGATCATTTGTCCAGCTCCTCACATCAAAAGAATGAAAATGAAAGGCATTCCACCTTTAAGCACGGCACATAAAGAAAGAAGAAAGGAGTTTTCCCGTGAACATGTGCAATGGAAAGACGAATGGAAGGATGTCCTGTTCACCAATGAAAAAAAATTCAATCTCGATGGTCCCAATGGCTGGGCTCACTATTACCATGACCTACGGAAAGAAGAGAAAGTGTTTTCCAAGAGGCAAATGGGAGGAGGCACCGTCATGTTATGGGGTGGTATTGGCTATGATCACAAAACTGATATTGAGTTTATTTCAGGTCGAATGAACAGCCAACAATATGTTAATTTGTTAGAAAACCAATTAAAAAAATATTTTGAACTTGTTCCTAAAGAGAATGTAATTTTTCAGCAAGATAATGCTCCAGTTCAGGCAAAAGTTGCAAAAGAATTTTTTAGAAAAGAAAGGATCAGAATTATAGATTAGCCGGCTAGGTCCCCGGATTTTAATATCATCGAAAATGCATGTGGGCATCTTGCTAGGAGTGTTTACAGTGGTAGCCGACAATTTCAGGGCATTGAAGAATTGGAAAAAAAAAAAAAAAATTCAGGAGGAGTGGGCCAAACTTCCACAAGAGATGATTCGTCGTCATTTTGACTCGCTTTTAAATCGTATGACTGCTGCATTAGAAAAAGGTGGTGCATATACAGGATATTAAATTTAATTTGTGTTATTTTACTTGTGTTTTAATAAAGAATTTTACTATTATTATTCACTGTGCTATCTTTTTGTTTCACCCCAAATCAAGTATTATTTATTAATTCTTACAAATTATTTTTTTCCAATTCCTAATGGAGAAAATCGGTTCAAAATACACTACATATTAATAAAAAAAATTATATCAATGGTTAAAATTGATTAAGAGAAAAAATATTGGGTGGGCTATCTTTTCGTCCCGGACCTTATGAAGTATTTATTACACAATTACACAGTAGGCAGTATTAATTATTTAAATGAATTACACTTTTATCTAAGATTTTGGTTGAGATGAAAAAGCTAGTGCCATGAGTGGGATTTGAACCCCGGCTCAATACGCCGCTGCTCTAACAACTTGAGAAGTCACAACAGCACAAGAGCATCGGTAATTTGCCAAAGGTAGTGGGCTCAAATCCCACTCATGACACTAGCTTTTTCATCTCAGCCAAAACTTTAGAACAAAAGTATAATTAATTAAAAACAAAACAAAAATAAAACAATAGTTATTGTACCTAGAACAGTGACTCCATTTGCATGAGCAGCATTAATCCATGCTAAAGGTGGTATTGTAAGAAGTGTATGACTGAAATAAACAAATATATCTATTCCAGCCCATCTAAAGAATGTGAATGGATCTTCGGAAGCGCAACCCTTGACATACCTAAAATTTCAACATAAAATAATTTTTACCTTACATTATGAGTTAAAATGTTACAAAAATCTCTACTTGTCATCAAGATATCCTCCTTTCATGTCATGACAATAAAGGGTTTTTGGAACGCACTCCTTCCCCTGCAGTAAAATATTATCCTCAAAATAAGATTTACAGTCTTTATGCCATTTGAAGCACCGAGAGGATTTGTTAAGTTTTGGTATGACTTTTTCAGCCCAACTCTGTTTTGAAGGAGGCTTCCATTGAAGGATGCCTTCTAAGGAAGAAATCGGTTGGCAAATATCCTCTCTATCATCACACATGGCTAAAATAAATCAATTGTCAGTGTTGTCATTTGCTCAAGCGCAAAAGCTGTTTAAACATCATCTAAAGAGAAGTTCAATAAAACTGGATATAAACAAAATATGTACATTTTTTAGATGTGACCTTTTGAGGCTTAGGCTCAGGAGAAGGGTCTACCCGTTGAGTTATAATTCGATTTCTTCTCTCTTCAATTACAACTGTAAGAGTTTTAGTTTTTTTGTTTCTGCTCATTGTGACTCACGATTTTATGTTACAACAGGCCTATGTTAAAAAGGATTTCATTGATAAATTAGGTAGAAAAATTGCAAAATGTTGAAACAACTTACTGAGGAGGAATTAAGTCAGTCAACTTAAAAAAAGGAACTTTAAGCTTTCAAAATGGACAGGAGAAGTACCCATTGCAACTTCAGTACTCTGAATTCGCTGTTGCTTGAAAACTGTCGAAAAAACTTTGAAAATTAAATCTACCGACTTTCATAATTAATTAAATAAGAAAAAGTTTAAAGTCATCGTTGGATTTGTTGAAAGCCTTGGTGAGAAAGCAATAGTTGAATGAAGTCAATTTCATTCATTTTAAGTAAGTTTTAGGTAATTCTACAACTGCAAATGTGTAAAAATAAAAGAAAGACATATAAATAGCTTGTAGATCTAGGTTTTCTTTGTTCCTAATTGAAATATTCAGTCTTAATTAAGCTCCGTTGAACTTTTTTGTATATCAGCAAAATTAAACAGACAGTCAAATTTAAAAATGCTCATTGATGATGATATTCATGTAGGTGTTATCATAATGTTCTTGTTGATTCGGCATTTTCATAGTTGCCTAAATTATTATAGAATTCCTCTTCTGTACAAACTACCGTGATATATTGATTCCTGCAGATCCTTCTATGTCTATTCAATATGCATACTGTTTCCACTTGGCAAAAGTAGTGTAATAGATACACTGGTGAGGTGTTTCATAAGTAATACGAGGAAATTATACGAGTTACTGTAGCTGGTGAGGCTTTTAAAGGCAGTTTCTTCCTCTACCCTGCAGATTCCTGTTGACTGAATGTGAGCATGCTTTTCTATAAATGTTCCATCATTATTAATAAAAATTGTTATTACTGGGTGAAAATAGTGAATAGCCGAATTAGTGAGGTTTTTCAGAAGTTGTTAGAAAACTCATAAAACTGTTTTTTTTCTCTACCAATTCATTGGACGGCAAACCTCCACATTTAAAGTTGCTGACATTTTTCAACATCAAATATAAAAATGAAGTTTATACAGCTTTGTTCTATAAATATGTCGGAAAGTCCGCAGAAATATTTTTTATTTATTTATTTGTTATAGTCAAAACAGGATACATCCCAATACAGAGCAGTTATATTAAATGAATACATATGGACGACCTGTGTAAACACATAACCAAGTCCATGGACAGGGAGATAGCAGTGACATTCTTCATGGATATAGAGATAGCATTCAACAATGTAACTACAGCCTCTATATATAAAAAAATTAAAAATAAGGGGTTTCGGCAAAGGTCTGTATGAAAAGGGCCTAAGGAAAAGGATTACATGCACCCTGGGCGGCACAACCGCCAAAGCTAGAACAACCAGAGGATGCCAACAAGGAGCAGTTTTTTCACCACTGCTATGGACAACACTGGTAAGCGAACTCGCAAAGCTAGTACACACTTGTAGGCAAAATCGCCTGACTGTCTACAGACAAATCGCTGATTTTGTCTGTAGACTGTTGTGGAACAAATCGAAGATGATCTAGAATCTTTGTCACACGCCCACACCTACACAGCTTAGTTAAACTAGTTTCCATGATAACATGAGTGAGATGTGGCTTTACTGCTTGAGCAGTTTTAATTTTTGATTAAAAACGGAAAATTAATCATAAATATTAGTGCACAAGGAACTTTTTAGCAGATGGGATTTAAAGGTAAAATGCCCTCTAATACACTCTCAACAACATCTTCAACAGCTGACGATCGCTCATTATGATGAAGACCGTTACAAGTGATTTCTGAATTGCCTCTCTCGCCAGTTTTGTGATTGTTTGGGCACTTTTCGATTTCGCAATCTGTTTTGTAATTATGACTCGACATTGTGAAGTTTTTCATCGCTCTTATACCCCTATCGTCTAAGACAAAAGGAAGCACACAATCCTTAGGAGTAAGCTGTGAAAAGTCCATGTACAACCGTCCAAAGGATTGTAACAGATTTTTATGATTTTATTTCAAAATGCCTCAGGGGTGCACTTGTAATGAAATGTCCTCAAAACCACACCAGCAGGGGCAGAGGAAGATCCATGTTACTACCAAGGTTCTATTCGGCTCAGTCTCGGCAATAGCAAATATGAAAGAGACGGAAAAATTGCAGAACAAAAGGACCAAACAGAATAATGTAAGGGTTAATGGAGTCACAAATCAAAAAAGTTTTTCATTAGATACTTTTTTTTCCAGGTTTCGGTTCAATGATCTCAGATTAACTTAACTATGATAAGATAATAGTTCATTTATTCAACTCGCTTTATGTACGTTTCAACGTTATGTTCTCTCATGTACCACCATACTATTTACATTATTAAATCACGTTCATTCAATTGAAGTTTGTGCTTTGTTTCAACCTTGCTTTCAAATGTATTTGTAAAAAGGTTTCAGCAATTTCACCCGGCTAATAACCACAGATTTGGAAAATTTACTACTTATGGTTGGAAATAAAATATAAAAAGCAAGAAAAAAAAGAAAAGAAAAAACAAGATTCAGAAAAAACATTCCAGCCTCTATGTTGTTGATGTTGCGGAACATGTCTCAAGTTTTCCATCCAAGCTGGGAGACCATGGACTTACAAGTGTTGTATACAGGTAGTTACAGAACAAGTGATTTGTTCCCGATTTGTCTGCAGACAATCGCAGAACTTTGTCTATAGACACGAGTTGCACGATTTCGTCTATGAGTGTGTCCTAGCCTTATCCTTATACAGGAACAAGTAGGAATCTACTAAGCTTGCGCTCATCCTTGCCATAGTGGTAAAAGGCTGGAGAGATGGTTGACAGCCCGTTTCTGTACCGATTCTAATTTTCTGGCTTCCATCCTGCCTCTACAATCCATAATGAAGCATATTACTGAAGCGACCTTACAAGAGTTTGGTACAAAATTCTTATTGATAAACTCAAGGTTTTGTTAAAGGCTTCAACTATGTTTGATTAATAATGATCTAATCTATCTTTTCTTTATCCTATTGCTAACCTCTCTGTACCTCAGGGCCTCGTCAATTAATAATAAAATAACACAAATACACAGAAAAAAGATAAAAACATGATACTCTGGCTAGCATTCACACTACCCCAGAGTACTCGATAATACTCATTGGGCATAAGCCCCTAAATTCAAGCAAATAAATACATTCATTCCAATAAATGAAACATATCACTGAAGATACAAGACTTTTAAACAATTAAAAATATTTAAGGCCCTGAGATACTGAAACAGTGATCCGTGCCTCAATCTAAGATATGGCAATTTAGAAAAGAGAAGGTGAAGCAATTGAAGCTTCTAAAATGGCCAATCTTTACAATTTTGCGATAGCATGGCCTCAACAATAATCCAGTTCGTGAAAGGGGCTGGAAATTATCAGAGAGTGGCAATCTTTAGGGCTATTTTGAAAGGTTCTCCAATTTTGATTTTAGATGAAGCAACATCATCATTAGACTCTATAATATCTTGGTATTGGCCCAGAAGCCACAGAAGGTAGAACATCGATTTGCATAGCACACTGACTTTCCGCAATAATGGATGCGGATGAAATCCTCATTTTGGACAACGGCAGCTTGGCCGAAATGAAGATGCATGAAAGCCTGCTCACCAATTCAGATTCTTTGTATACGAAGATGTGGGAAATGCAACACGACAAAATCAAACAGGTCAAAGCTTTCGAAGCGCAGGCCACCCAATACTCGGTGGCCATATTTTTGAACAAAATGTATAATTGTATATATGTAAAATACTTATTGTGCTAATTATGTTGCGAGGTTTAATGCCGATTTATATTCAGGCAACAAACAACAACCCAAGGTAGATGAACTAAAGAAAATATGAAATGACGTCTTAATTTTTATTCACAAGAAATGAATAATTTTATTCAAGACCATGCATACTATGTGGTATGCCGTACTTCTTTCTTTGCACGCTTAATTCTTTGAAGTCTGTTATTATGTGCTTCCACACAATGGGAACCTATTTCGTCTCACCCCCTTTAGAAGGGTTCTGTATGTGATCTTGGTATGTCCTATGCGCAACCTGGTATGACCTTTTCCCTTCTGGATCCAGCCTTCACAGGCCAGGGTCTTCTTGACGATTATATGTCGTTTATTGTAAATCCGCTGGGTGGGGTTGTGTAGTGGTCAACTTCGTTGCCTTATTGGTTATACAAACACGCCCAGGAACCCAAGCAAAATCGAAAATCAAAAGGCATACAGACATGGATTTCTGCTGGTGAGACAATTTTATACAAATCGTTTTACTGCCCGATATGACAGGCTTGATTGGGCAGACTAAAAAGCTTCAAATTCATCACCTCATTCTCTGGATTATGAGATCACAGACATGTTTGCAAAAGATTATTGCCGTTCTATGAAGTACATATAAAAACATAGCCCTCGTAAATTAAAAAAAAAATTAAATGCATAAATTAACACTGCTTACTGGAAAATGTTAATATCCGGGCTTGACGATAATCTTCCAACCCGAATAACCGGAGGTATTTACATTTTCGTTTGAGTGTGAGTGTGAGGTGGCCGGTCTCATGAAATCAGGCCACGCGATGCTTCGCCTGATAAAAGATAACAACTGTCAATGTCAAATACTGGAAAACAAACAACAAAATATTATCGATTGTATTTAATTCAATCGTTCTACTATCAAATCGAATTGAAATGTTTATGTTTATTATATTGAAGTAAGTACAAACTGAATCATGCTGATTACAATAAAATAAATACTCCAGAATTATTTCTTAGATCTGCCAAGGATCCATCAGCTTCACATGAGCTTCCATTTTTCAATTATGCAGAAGCAGAACTAAGAAAAGTCGTAGAAATCATGAAAAAGAAAATAAAATATACAAAAATAAAATATACAAAAATAAACACTCTGAAAGAAAGTAAACATGCAAATAAAAATAAAAGAAAGTAATAATTCTGTGGGAAATACATAAATGCAACAAGTGACTAAGGTTGCACTGGCGGTGTTATTTCATAAGCCACTCATGTGCTGCTATACATTTTCATGTTACATTTTACTCTGGAAAACAAGGAAACAACTAATTTATTAACATTCTGAAAGAAAGTAAACATACAAATAAAAATAAAAGAAAGTAATAATTCTGTGGGAAATACATAAAAGCAACAAGTGACTAAGGTTTCAATGGTGGTGTTATTTCATCAGCTCCTAATAAGTTTTCACTTTTCAATTATGCAAAAGTAAAACAAAGACTGGTGTGATAGAAGACACAAAAAAGAAATGAAAATTACCAAAATGAAACAGATCTCTGTGAAAGTTAAAGCTGCATGTCATTTTTTAAGGCTTTTAATACGAATGTCATTTTACCATCCACTCATATTACATTTTATTCTGGAAAAAAATTGACATTGTAAATAAAATAAGTAAAACCTTAAATACAAATTCTGTGAAAGATAAAGCTACAAATATATTTGTAATGCTTGCAATGGTGGTATTATTTCATCAGCCACTCATGCGTTTCTATAGATTTTCATGTTACGTTTTGCCCTATAAAACTAAGCATTGTAATTTATTTATTAAAATTCTAAAATAAAATAAAAGTACAAATAAAAATAAAAGAAAGTAACAATTCTGTGGGAAATACATAAAAGCAACAAGTGACTAAGGTTGCAATGGTGGTGTTATTTCATCACCTCCTCATGAGATTTCACTTTACAATTATGCAGAAGCAGAACTAAGATGACAATGTGATAAAAGGCATGAAATTTTTTTTTTGAAACGGCATGAAAAAGGCATATAAATTTTTTAAGGCTTTTAAATGGTTGTCATTTCACCATTCATATTACATTTTATTCTGGAAAAAAATTTGACACAGTTAATAAAATAAGTGAAAACAAATAAAAATAAAATACAAATTCTGGGTAAGATAAAGCTACAAGTAAATTTTTAGGGCTTGTAATGGTGGCGTAATTCATCAGCCACTCTTGTGATGCTATTCATTTTCATATTACATTTTACTCTGGAAAACGAAGGAACAACAAATTTATTAACATTCTGAAAGAAAGTAAACATACAAATAAAAATAAAAGAAAGTACTAATTCTGTGGGAAATACATAAAAGCAACAACTGACTAAGGTTGCAATGGCAGTGTTATTTCACCAGCTTCTCAGGATATTCTATTTTACAATTATATTTTATTATGCAGAAGAAGAACTAAGAAATGTGATAGAAGGCACGAAAAAGAAAAGAAAGTATATAAAAATAAAATAAATCTCTGTGAAAGATAAAGCTGCATGTAAAACTTTTTTAATGCTTGCGATGGTGTTATTTCATCAGCATGTTACATTTTGCTCTAGAAAACTAAAAGACATAACTTATTTATTAAAATTCTAAAAGAAAATAAAGATCCAAATAAAAATAAACAAAAGTACCTAACTATTACGTGGGAAATACATAAAAGCAACAAGTGACTAAGTTTGCAATAGCACGTTATTTCATCAACTCATGAGCTTCCATTTTACAATTATGCAGAAGCAGAACTATGCAGAAGATAGATGTGATAGAAGGCATAAAAAAAAATCTACAAAAATGAAATAGATCTCTGTGAAAGTTAAAGATTTATGTAATTTTTTAAGGCTTTTAATACAGATGTCATTTCACCATCCACTCATAGTACACTTTTACTATATAGAAGTGAAAAAATGTTTTTTAGGTAAAGAAAAAATATGCTTTATCAGATCAACAAATATTTTTAACAACTTGCCACAACAATAATAAAATGAAATAAAAAAATAATTGTACACATTTACATGAATTAGAATATGCAAATGTCATGTCAATATAAAGAAGTTGAATAATTCAGTTTTACTTATTTCGTTGATCTCATCCAATAGAACTTCTGTACTGTGTATAGAACTAAAAACCAATTTTTGATTCCAGATAGACTATGTAGATAGTTATAGAAGATGAAGTCGTTCCAAAAAATAAATAAAAATGAAATTTCCACAAGTAATTTTTAAGGAAGTAATTTTTTTAAAATTTGCTTATGTAGATTTGCATATTATATCTTTAGAGAGCTGATTAACACGATAGAAAATAAGTTGCTACAATAATAAATAAAAATAAAATTTACACGAGTTAATATTGGGTTGTCCGGAAAATAATGCAGGATTTTGGTATTAAACAAAAAAAAAGAAACTAGTTACTTTAAAGCAATGTTCTTTAATCAAAATAATTTCCCATACNATACAAATGAGTAATCCTGTAAACGTAAACAGAATATTTTATATAGATTTTTTTTAATGAAAACTTAAAATCCTGCATTATTTTCCGGACAACCCAATAATTGATATATGACGTTATTTCATCAGCAACTCTTGTGCTTTTGTAGATTTCATATTGTTTTTCATCAAAATTATGAACTATTTCATATGGCAACTCTAGAGAGAAAAAAATACAAGTCTCCAGGGAGATAAAGATTGTCAAAGAACTTTTTAATAGTTATAGCAAGGAGAGGTTTTATTTTACCATCCAGCTAAAAAAGGAGTTTTCTGGAGGGCTAAAAAGGTACAGAGCTATCTTGAATTAATGGCAATAATTTAAAAAAATTACGAATAAAAATTGTATTGAATTATGATCGCCGACAACCTTAGGTGTTTTTTTTATGAAATTTTAATTTATAATTAAACTATTCAGTCTTAAAGATGTCAACAGTGTCGGTTCCTAAGAGCATAGTTTTTGTAGTATCTCGGCTATCTTTTGAGCTTTTCAGGCATTGCGATGTAATAATATTTATACGGTGAACCAACGTTATGTTAAATTCCCGTAATAAATATTTATTTAAAAACAACAAAACCCCTTCAATGAGTACATAATAGAATTGAGAAGGAATTTAACAAAAGCTTGCGTCCAGGGTCAATTTTACCGGCTTGATTGACGTCATTGGAAGCTCCTCCCTTTATCAGGGCCGGAACCCTGAGCAGGCGCACTATGTTTTGTAAGTTTTCAACCCTAAGGATCGGGTCGTGGCAAATCGCGAATCGGCGACCTACCATGGTCGGATCGGGCAACTTCTGTGCGGTAGCCGGCTGCTTCAACTCCTGGAGGAAAGGAAGGAAAGAGGGAAAGACTTACTCTTTCCACAGGTAGGCTTATTTACTTGACAATATTGATTCAACTACGTTTAGTTTGTCAATTACGTTGTCAAAAAAATATTCATTCATTCAACCTTCTGACAAAAATGCGCCAAAATATACATACATACTTGATACAAAAATTCTCGTTATTGTATAAGTCCAAAAAAAGTAAAAATACATTAAATAATTACATAAGTTCAGTAAATAATTACTAATATAATTAAGCTAAATTTTCACTTTATAATTTTGCACCATTTTTTATTAATTTTCGATCGTGATTCATTTATTAAAAAAATAAATATATATATCACATCTACGCTAAAAACATGGAAATTTCAATGATAATAAAAACAAATATATAAAATATACTCTTGGTATCCATTAATTATAATTTTTATAAGTAAAATCTTGCAAGTTCATTGGAAATAGTGGTCGCACTTTTTGTAAATAATGGTTCTGTTCATAGATGAAATTGTTTACTTAAATAATAATAATTTAATAAATTTAAATCTGTGAGTAGAACCATCATTTACAAAAAGTGAATCTTCATATTCAGCCCACCTTCATAATTTCATTTATTTATCGCACTATTCTTGTTCTGCCATAGCTTAGATATTTAAATCTTTAAAGTTAAAAAAAATATGTTCACGAGTGGACCATCCATCATCAATGGAAATTTGATTTTTTTTTAAAGTCAGAGATTAGGGTTATTTGAATTTAAGCCTTATCTATTTCAATTTCTCTGAATTCATTGGCATTTCCCTACTACTGCGCGTTTGTTCTAAAACGATTCGATCCACAAGGGAAAAAATCCAGTTAAAAATTATTAGACAATTGAAGTTGTCGTTTGGCAGGCGTGGTGCATGGATGTTTTGTATGTTTTGCTATCGCTTTTAATCGGTTTTAGAAAAGTCTAAGATTTGATCCAGTTCAGAAAGTTTCATATTGTCCCATTCTATGGAAAATAAAGATTTTTTTTTTTTAAAAGAATATCTTTAGGAAAAACTGATTCAAATGCATTTTCAAGGGCGCGTCGATGTGAGCTGTATGTAAACAATCATTGTGGAAGGGCAACGGGATCTGTTCCACTACCTCTGATAACATCACTGTGTGATATTACTGGTAAACGTCGGAAAACGTAGAAATTCAAAACGGTAGAAGGTTTTAAAGATATTTTACAGAAATAGGAAGAAATAAAAGATAGTTTGTAAAGTTTAGTCACGAAAGTAACCAATTTACAAAGCCAACTTAGCACGTTTGTTAACACAATTGAGAAATTCGAATCATAATGTACTGTTATAAACTAGTAAGATGAAATATCAAAAAAAAAAAAAAAAATCTAAGTGATAGCAAGGCAAACAATTTAATTCCATACAGGGTGTTCGGCTATTCGTGTTACAAACTTTGCCCGTAGAATACGTTCAAAGTGGAACCAAAAAGTCCTAATTAACTATGGTCCTAATCTCAACAGTGTCGGAGTTATTTCACTTTTTCTGATTTTTTAAGATTTCACGACTTTGCTTCAAATAAACAATGATAACTCAAAAACTAAAAAGTTTGGGACAAATCCGTTGATACCATTGAAAATTTGCAATAAGATGTGCTCAATACTAAACTTGTAATCGGTGAAATAAGCGTTTTAGTATCTAGAACTTTGAAAAATAATTATTACTTCAAAGTCGAAAAACTTACTATGGTGATTCTGAACTACTATTTCCAAACCTAGAGACCAGCAGATTTCAGAAAACGTACTCCATTTTATAACCTTTTTAGTTGTGTAATTGCTTTTTTAATTATTTTTTTCGAAGATGAAGATTTTGATGAAGGAAAGGAAAAAAACATGTTGACGGATTGGTAAAGTGAAATATTAATAATAATTAAATTCACTAATTTCGTGGTCCGCTTGACCAATTAATATATTACAATTAATTAAGGTTTTTAGTTGGGATAAAAAACCTTAATTAATTGTAATATATTAATTGGTCAAGCGGACCACGAAATTAGTGAATTTAATGAATTTAAATGAAGAATACTTCACTAAAGCTCTCCGTGGCCATTTCATTTGTCGCCGAGAATCCAATCCGATTACACGACATTTGAAAAATGGCAAAAAGGAGGGCAAATTCAAAAGGTGCGGTTGAGATGGGAAGTTGTCCGAGTGGATCGAGGTCACGATAGCTCAAGTGGTAGAGCAGCGGCGTATCTAGCCGAAGATCGTGGGTTCGAATCCCGCTCGTGCCATTGACTTTTTTTATCTCAACTAAAAACCTTAATTAATTGTAATATATTAATAATAATAAAAAAATAGACAACTTAAGGAAATTTCGAATGAATTTATTAAACGTTTGAATATTAAAACTCTTTTATTCCGGGGAATAATAATACAATAATTTTTTAATAAAAGTTGCAGTCGTGTTGGTAAATAAGTAAACACTTGTACTATTTTGCTTTCAAACCCTAATTAAAAAACGTTTAATAAATTCATTCAAAATTTCCTTAAGATTTTTTTCAATCTTTCCACCTTACCAATCCGTCAATGTTTTACCTTAATATACACAATTGAACAAGTTTCGTCTAAAAAAATTCACAAATAAAAACAAATTTATTCAGCTAACAAAAAGTGTGCTTATGAATCATGAGTATCCCGGGTGTTGGCAGTCCGAGGGCAGACCTCAGTCTTATCTGTCTTGCCACCGATATCTGTCTAGACACCCGGGGGGGTGTCAACAGCTAGTCCAATTTAGCACCCAACGTATGCAGTTACAATCTCTTAAATCTTACCCCTTAAATGCTTAAATACTCCTATTTACATACCATTCATTCAATTAGGGTGATGGAGTACTCGAAATCAATCACCCTTTACAACTATTACACAACTAACTTAATTGAGAGTCAATGGAGTACTCGATAATCCTCCGTCGACCTACACACTATTAATAATCTAATCTAGGGTCGATCTGGTACCTTCAACTCTAAACTCAAACACTAATAAATACACTCACTCAAACAAAACACAACTACAAAACATATAATACAGATGTACAATAAAAAACTTCCACGTCCTCGAAAAAGCGGAACAGGGGACCCAGAAACTTGTTACTGTGCCCAAGAACCTACACGCCCTCTGTAAGAAGCCAAGCTTCTATTATGTTTGACACATCGACCAACCTTTCTCTGGCTTTAGCCCAGGAGTAGTACCCTTGTGTCAACCACGTATGATGTTCTTAATCCGGAAGATGGAAGATTTCTCACTTCCGGCTCTGGTTCTCGGGGAGCCATTTACAGGTTGTGCTCTTGACACTCAAGAGCCTTTCGGACGACCTTTCTGTGTTATTATTTCTTTTCCTAGGCCGGCTTGCTACTAGCTTCTAGCACCTCGGGGTCTTTTTACCGCCCTCATTTACGCTAATAAATACAATCTTACTAGTTATAATCTTTCATACAATATGAACGGCTAAAAATAGGGGAGCCACTGGGTCCCATTAATATGACGCCCGTACCTCCTCCCTTTCACCCTAAAAACCCTTAAACTAAAGCTATTAGTGTAGTGGGTCTTTGGGGTTCTCGATATTCCTCCACAACACCCCACACATACTCAACACTCACGCTAATAAATACATTCCTTTCAGGTAGGAAAACCACGCGTGGAAAATACATACAATTTTCTATGGTTTGTTGTTACTAATATTAATATTACGTATTATTTTATAATAATTAATTTTCTTAATTTTTTAATTTATATTTTTAAAATTCTCTATACTTAACTTTAATAATATATTGGATTTGGATTTAATAATACAAGTCGCTCTATCTGTAAAGACGTATTCATATACTGACTATATATGAAATAAATAAAACAATAAATTTTAGGGTTTAGGCTAAAATACGCCGCTGCTCTACCACTTGAGCTATCGTGACTTCGATCCGCTCGGACACCAACTTCCCATCTCAACCTTGAAAAATGGCAAAAAGGAGGGAAAATTCAAAAGGTAGGTTGAGATGGGAAGTTGGTGCCCGAGTGGATCGAAGTCACGATAGCTCAAGTGGTAGAGCAGTGGCGTATATATCCGAAGGTCATGGGTTCGAATCCCGCTCGTGACACTGACTTTTTTATCTCAACCAATACCTTACTTAAAGATTAATTAATTGAAAAGAATTTATTTGGTCAGCGGACCACGAAACCTAATGGATTCAAAAATAATGTATACTCTATTTTTAGCTAATTTTTAATGAATAATTTATATAAGTTAAAAATGAAGAGATAATTGAATTTACACTCGCTAAATCTCTTGTCGGTCTCAGTTTTAAGAATATCTTTTGGTCATAGCTGTGAATTTTTTTAAATTCCGCTTGCTTGCAACCTCACATTCCTTGTTAAAGGTGTAATTCATAGTTCATACCAAGTGAAGAGTTTGTCATATTCAAATACATGCACTACAGTTTAGAAACACATTTAAAAATCTGAAATCTAGGATGTACTGGGTCGAGGGGGGAAAGCAGAAAAAACACTTACTATACCAACAAGCAAATACACAATTAAACAAACACAATCTCTCACAAAAATAGAAATGAACAAATACATACATGTGAACAAGATTAAATAAATATTTTCACGTGGCCATTAGTTTATTGTAAGAGAATTGATTGAATTCTGCACTGGCTATTCACTTCTGAATTTCAAGTCTATGAATTTAATTCTTGATGTATTAATTAAAGTCCTGCAATAAAATACGGAGTGTTTACGGAAAATAAACAAATTAAAAAAGAAAATATTATGGGAGTTCTTGTTGAGGAAGTTTTTCAGTAACATTTTAAATAAAAAAATGTAACATAAAACAGTAACATAAAAAAATGTAACATAAAACAGTAACATAAAAAAAAAACATTTTTGAGTTTATTTATTTATTTCTTCACTTTATTGTTAGTTTTTCAATGATTTGAAAGAAATTTGAGTTTACACGTCTTTTTTTAATGATTTGGTCACCGTGTGCTTTCAGCTTTCCCAAAAGGCCCCATTTGAGAAAGGTTTGGATCAAGTTCTGCTCGAGGAAAGACAGACTGAATCCCAATTCGGGCCGGATATGTTCGGAACACTTCAAACCGGAGGATTTCCAGCTTAACTTCAAGATGCAGCTCATGGGAATACCCGTGAAGAGGATGCTCGTCCCGGACGCCGTTCCTTCTATGAATCCACCCGAGATCGGGACGCAGACGCGCAGGAAGACAGAAGTCGAAGAAGAAAACGACGAAGGGGTATTTAAAACACTTTCGAAATTTTAACAACAAACAAGATTCCCCATTGTTTGACGTTATGAACAATAAAACATTAAAATTAGACTGGAGAGATAATTTTCTTTTAAAGAATCATCAGCATTATGACAATGACATTTTAAGACAATACTCAAACACTAGGCAATCTTTTATTTTCTTTGGCTGTGAGGTTAGATAAGATAAATCAAACTTTTCCTAGTCGCCTTTGAATTTGAGTTAATTTGAATTATCCCTGATATGGCTTTTACAGCCTATGTGGATGGAGTCACCTCTTTAAATATTTATTTTCTTTTTCATTAGCATTGTATTGTTTTATGACAATAATTCATTTTAATTACAATACTTTTTTTTTTTTTTTTGGTTGGGGTTTTTACACAGGGTGATTCACTATTCACTCATACGACAAAGTTCTTCAGGTGCTTCTGCACCTCAAATGCATAAAAATGTTCGTATGAATGACAGTCCAATTCTTAAACCCTTTTCCAGATATTCAAGATTTTCTTTTTTTCTCCCAACTATCTACGGTTTTCGTCATAAATACACTGGTAGCTTTGGAGCTACTCATTTTTGGGGAAGTCCAAAAAGAGAAAAAGAAGAAGAAAAACATTGAAAAGAGAAAATGTCCTTTAAGACGGTACCCTGCTAAAACTTTCAATTTAATTTTTGGTTGAAAAACAAACATTAAATCTTTCAAAAACTGCTAAATTTAAAATGAGTAAAGAAACTAAATTGCTAACCTCGTTGGAAAAATTCACGATAAAAATTGGCAAATTTTATAACAACTCCTTTGTTTAATAAGCTTTTTATCGGTATACCATTTTATTTATTTACATCCAACCAAAATGCAGAAATTTTATGCTAAATGGGGAAAAAAGTGGTGACGGTAAGAAAAAGGGGGAGGGGTTGCTCAAGTAATTCAACTTTTTGTCCCGGCCAAAATTTATTTCCTAACTTTAACACAATAATTAAAAAAGAAAAAAGAAAGAAAATGAAAGAAAATACATAAAAAAGTGGCAATAAACATAGCAAACAGCCAAAGCATAAAAATTGGATAAAATATCTTCAATAAACCCAGACAAAAAAAGAACAATACAAAGATTGTTAAATTCATCTTTAACGTAATACAAAAGCACGAAATAAAGAAAAATTCAACGTAAAAATAAGACAAGACACATAAAAAAGACAATAAACATAGAGTACAACTAAATCGTAAAGATTACGCTGAATTTTTTTTAAAAGGTTTGCTTTGTTTCATTTTTCTTTCTTTTTTGTGCTTTTTGTAAAGTTAAAGTTTGAATATAAATTTTGCCCAGGACAAAAAGGAGAATTAATTGATAACTCCACTCTTTATTTTTCAATCATCTTTTTGCCCATCTAGCATAAAATTTTGGTTTGATGTAATTAAAAAAAATGATATACCGGTAGAAAGGTTATTACACGAAGATTTTTATGAAATTTACGAAGCTCTACAAGCTCTAACGAGCTAGCAAATTTACACTGCCCTTCAAAAAAACAGACCACTGGTTTTTGCACGAAAAAATGGCCAAATTTGGAAATGCATATTTTCTCAGCCTTTTAAGTCACCGACCTGCACTAGGTCTCATTTTTTAGAATTTTTTTTTTCATCTGTAAATTCAAAAATTCGGGAACGTGTTAATTTATGGTACTTATTACGAAAACTTCAAATGGGACCAGGAAATCGAGCGAAATTTTAAAGGAGGAAATTTTAATAAGTTTTCAATTGGTCACATTTCATTTTTAGTGTGCTATGGAAAAAATCGATCACTCTGAAGACTGAAGCTAGGAAAACATTAAGAAAAAATTTTGATCGGCATAAAATTTTCTAAAAAATGAGACCCGCGACTTAAAAGTCTGAGTAAATTGCATTTCCAAATTTAGTCATTTTTTCATGCAAAAACTAGGTGGCCGGTTTTTTTTTGATTGGCAGGGAGTTAGTTTTTTCGCAAATTTTAAATTTAGCAGTTTTTGAAAGATTTAGTGTTTGTTTTTTAACAACAATTAAATTGAAAGTTCTAGAAGTGTGCCTTCTTATTTCTTCTAAAATTTAACGCTCTTTTTAATGCTTGTTGATTTCCTACCCACCCTATGAGATTTGCATATTTAATTATCCTGTATAGAGGGTTGCAGTTTAGAAGCAGAACGAAAAATATTCTAAGAAACGTTCAAAACGCTCCAATTTTCTATTTATTTTGTTTTGTTGTAAGATGAGATAAACTAGACTTTTCATAATTTCTCCCAATTTTAGTGTTTCAAATTTATGGTTTAATCTTGCTGAGCCAACATTAACAGTTCACCAACTTCAAGGTCTTTGTTTTCTTTTATGAAATCATTAGCATTGCAACATCAATTTAATTTTTTCTGATGGGCATTTATGCACAGAAGCAAATAGAATGGATCTGGAATTAGATCGAATAAATGTCTCCAAAAAATCATAAAGCTTCGCAAGTTTATTTCTCTTCTTGTTGTTCTTTTATTGAAATGTTAGATAGTAATCTAGACTTTTCAAAATTTTATAATTGGTATTCACTTTTATTTATCGCTGATAGGTTTTTTTATATTCGTATGGGGCTGAGTAATCATCGACGATTCAAGGTTATTAGATCATCATTTTAACGCAAATTTTTAAACTAATTTGTAAAACTTGTAATTTAATTTGATAGGTATTTTTGTAAAAAATTCGTGTTTTTTTAATATTTTAGGAAGACCCGAACACGTTTCAGAGCGTCACGGGAGACGTGGAGGCGATCTCGGACTTGCCGACATCCGTGACTGACACAGGGTTCAGAACAAAACCGACGCGGAAAAGCTTTCAGAAATTGAACAAGTCGAAACTTTCGACGGGCGAGGCGAGAAAAGCCCAGGAGAAAAGCCATAGAAGGGCGATCAACGGGGAAAAACCGACCGGACGGACAAAACAAATCAATTTACTGAAAATGAAGGTGAACAGCGTGAATAAGATCTCGTCCCCATCAGACGAACTCAGCTGTCATGGAGCACTGAAGACCGAGAAACAAGTCGAGTTCAGCATCGTATTTTCCGCGACAGAACTGAAAATATTAAAAGGATGAAACAACATTTTTATTTCAATCAAAATCCTTGTTTTTGGTAATGATCAAACCTTCAAGTTTGAAATTTTGTCCCAAACACAATGATCTGGTGTTTCGAAGAACGAACGACTAGATTGTCAATTATTAAATGGACCTGGACAAACACCTTTTTATAAATTTTTTTATAAACAACAACGTTTATAAACAATTCATTAAAAAAAAAAAAAATTATTAAAATATTATTTGAGTGTACATTTGTACCTCAATGAAACACTTCCGTGCTCTGGAAGTAGACGAGACAAAGTTCAGCCTGAACGTGCAAAATCGTCCATTTGTTTATCTTATCTTCGTTTACACATTGTTATTTGCGGCTGAAGCTTTTCGAACTTTCAATTTTCCTCAAAATGACGAACATTCCTCAGAGATTTTTTTACAGTGTTCATCTAAACAAGAAAAAATATAATTAGATACAAGTTCATTTATACAGTTTTCACTAAAAAAATTGAATTGATTAAAAAAAAGCAAGTATTGTGTTAAAGATTTACAATGAAACTTGTTTTATTAATGTAATTTTATTAAAAATAAAAAACTTTATTTACTTTACTTACTTTATTTACTTTTATTGTTAGTTTTATTTGATCTAATGACTACGATGAAGAAAAACCGAATTATTTTAAATTTAAATTTTATAAACAAAATGATTAGATACATAATGCATGCAATAGAAATAGGAAGCACAGGACATTATTCGAGAACCAAATAATTGAAGACCACTTAGAATGCTAAATATAAACACCCAAACTGAAATAAAAACAAGCAGAAAAAGCGACAAGGATAAGGAGGAAGCCTTGGTGGATAAAAAGAATTGGCACTTCTACAAACGCTGGCCAAAAGAAAAATGCAAGAATATTAGATGACAAGCGACACTGCCGCAAGGCACCTAATAAAATAACACAAATAGACATAAAAGGTTATATAAATTTTGGGTATTAAAAGCGAAAATGGCATATTAACCTATACAAGGAAGTAATAACCAATAAAATATCCTATGGTTCATTAAACAGAATGTTTGAATTGAAAATTTCCGTCAGACCCCTAGTACGAACAAAATAATGAAAAGGGTAAGAATGGCACCATCTACTGGTGCACTGATGGATCAAGAAAGCAAGGGTTATGGGTAGGGGGTGTTCGAACCCACGGGAAGTACAGGTAAAGTACACCAGTAGCTTCCAGGCTGAAATACTTGCTTCTTAGTACTCAGTTTCACCTGAACAAGGGTAAAACAAAAATAAGAACATAACTACCATGTCAGATGGTCAGGCAACCTATCAGAACAAGGGGACCAGGTTGGTGTGACACGAATTTGGACCAAATTTTTTTTGTGATTCTACACTCCAAAATGTCGGACACATATCAGCCAATTCTTGTCAATAAGCCAAAAATTTTTTTTTCAAAGTTGAAATTTTCCCGTTTTTAATATTTTTATTTCGCCGTTCTACTTGCACAAATCAACTGTGTGAATATACCATTTTACAGTATTTTTATGTAGATTGGTATAAAACTATAGTAAAAGCTATCAAAGTTTAAGAATAACGAAAAAAATTCCAAAATCCAAATATTTTCCAAGTAAACTAGCCCATATTTTTTTCGTGAAACTAAAATGAAATTTAGTTTTACCCTCTTTAGAGACCCCTAAATATAAATTTTTATTGAGTTTAAATTTAGTGATTTTCTGACACCTAAAAGTTTTTCCTGTTTTTGAGAAGTTTTATCAAAATATCTAATTTAAACGGCTATAATTCGTGGATAGCTGTATAGAGTTGGGCACTGACCTGGTGAGTCCGTTTTCTTCGAATTCTTAAATTTTCTTATGCATTTTTTGAATTTATTTTTTTATTTATTTTATCACTACCTGTATTGATGAAATGTACATCTCGTAATATGAGGCTATTTACATATTTACATTATACACTGTATATCGTGTCTTGAGGGGAGTCGCCAACCATTGTTGGTCTCCCAGTTTTGTGCAAGGTTAATCCTTGATGAAGAGGTCCTGAGGCCATCTCCGCTTTAATCGGCGGACAGGATTGTAGGGATGGATTATGTTGGACATGGTTTGGGCTTGTGGGATGGGGTGAGTGGAGAGTTTGTCGTGGTACTGGGTAAATTTGGACGGGATTAATTTATTTACAAATGGTATTTTGAGGTCATTGTGGAGGGTGGTGTCGGAGACATAGTAAGAAGCGTTAACTATAATTCTAAGGACTTTGGATTGGAAGTATTATCCCATTTCAGCAAAATATAATGTATTTAACTCTGCAAGGCGGTAATGTTATACGGTGCTCAGGTTTGGGGCTATAAATGGTATGACAGTGTGGAGAAATTGAACAAATATTTTGTCAAAAGGTTTTTCCTAAGAAAGGATACACCCGATTATGTCTTATATTTAGAGACAGGGATTGACCCATTGTATTTCAACACATTAAGCCCGCATCTGATATCCAAAAAGTTTTATCATTGTCTTCTGCTAGACTTCCTCGAATTTTGGCCTTGAAAATACTAGACAAGAAAATATTTTGGGCAAAAGAATTTGACAATTTGTGTCTACAACACGGTTTAACTCCCTTGAGTTACTCCGACATAAATAAAAATAGTGTAGAAAGCTTGGTAGATGTTTTAAGAACTGATTTTAAAAATAAACTAAAATTAGGAGCACAACGGTCTGACTTCCATGTTTTATACAAAGAAGTGAATCTGGAATTAGGAGAAAATCACCATTATTTAAATAAAAATTATAATTTGAATATGATAAGTGTGGTAATGAAAGCAAGAGGTCAGTTGCTGTCTCTTAATTACTCGGTCCACAGAAATGAGGAAGCGTACCGTTGTGCTTTGTGTAATTTAGGTGTGTATGAGGATAGCTTAGGTGGTTTGGCAAATTTAGAAAAAAATGAAGTAATTTCATTTTTGAATGGGCAGAACTGGCACAGTCTCTACAATTATGTTTTGTACTCCCTAAAATACAGAGCGTTCCTAATCAATAATTTCAATTATTAATAAAGTATTGTGTAAATTATGACTATTTGTATTAGTATTGTTAGTGTTAATATTCGTATTATTCTATGTTTTTTCTTTAAGCAACTCGACAGACAGCCTGTAGGCTATTGTCTAGGATGTTTTATGTACTGAATATTTTTTTGTAAAATAATTTTTATTGTAAATAAACATCATGATCTATGTATCTATTGAATTCGTTGGATGTTGGTAGTTTAGCGGTGCCCCACAGTTCTAGTCCATATGTCCAAATCGATTTCAGTAGTGTTCTGTACAGTGTTAGTTCGTTTTTTGTCGATACATTAGATTTACATCCGAGTAGTTTATAGAATAGTCCGAATCGTCTATTCAGTTCTGTCTTTTTATTTGGATGTGTTGTTTCCACGTCAGTCGTGAGTCAAGATAGTAATATGGGTGCACTTGTTTTCATTCGTTTTTATTCTCCATGTTTTGCTCCATTCTGCAATCAGATGAACGTGTGATTGGAGCTCCTCCGAAGCTTTTTCGGGATGCATAAATGTTTCATTATGAACGAAATTTCATTCCTCGACGTTAAATCCATTAAATGAATGTCAATCGAGCTTAAAATATGGTAGATAGAATAACATCGAAAGATTAGAATGGATTACTACAAAATTAAATAAACACAATAAATTTTTGTTAGAACATTTATTTCATGTATTTAATACAAAAATAATTACAATAACATTAACTTAATAAAATACTTTTTCCCTCCATGGGTGAAAAAAACATTCAAAAACGCTAATATACTGCAGGTAAAGATATGCATATAATGAATGTAAATCATTATGTTGGATGATAAATATTTGCATGTTTAGTTTTGCATGTTTTTCTTTCTTTAACCTAAAAAAATAAAATTTGGCTAATACAAAATTAAAAACAATTTACAAAATGACACTCCTTTTGGCACTACTTATAAACTAATTTTATTACTCCTTCACTTTTTCGTTCTTCTTCAAAACAACTGTACTCGTCATTTATCCCCTACATTTTAATATTAGGTCGATATGTACAAATTGTTTGACATAAATTTATGTATTTTTGTTTCTTTTATAGCAACCCTAACACCTAATTCTATGTCGGGAATCTGATCATAACGAACATCAATTCCTATTTATAAATCAGTTCACATTATTTAATAATAATATTACAGATAAAAATGCTCATTATAATTATTGTCAACTTAGCAGCGCATGTACAGACCTAGACATATAAATTAATAATTCATTATTACTTTACAAATATTTACAAAGAAAGATACATTCGTTTCCTAGACTATCGAAAACGAGTTTCAAAGGCAAGCAAGGGGACGATGAATTTGGTTTTTTTTAATTAAAAAAAATATATTTTTTTTAATAACATAAAATGGTAATAACGTGTTAGTCCATGATATAAAGGTTAGCAAAGGTACTTAGAAAGTTTTTATGATAAATAACTCAAAGAATGTTCTAACCAATCTTATTAATTTCAGTACTAACACTAGGAGTACAGTTGTTCAGGCACTAACTTTTTTTCTTGAAATTTTGGTTCAGTTCCTTACTAATTCTGAAAAAAATGTAAATTTTTTAAAATAGGGAATTAATTTCTTGCAATCAGGCTGGAGATTTTGTTTTACCTGGGTTATCAAAGGGAGTCAAAATTGGATATGTCACTTCCATTACCCTGAAAAACGAACGCCGTTAAATTCAACTCAAAAATTTATATTATAAATTTGACTATAGATTTGGTGATAACATACCCGGTCAGGTTTGTAAAGATGCGACTGGGGCATGACAAAAGTCGAGCCGATGTCCCGTTCTACCATCGTATGGCCTTCCTAAAGCACAACCAATCAGTCAAAGGCACACAAATATGGACAAAATTCGATTAACATACATCACTCATGTGCTTGTCATAATGACCTTGCAGGCACTTCGTCGGGGGATGGATCGTTGTTTCATCGTACGATCTTGCTTCCGAGACGGTCCTGTTCAATTCGCATAAAAATATTTTAGTTTAAAACGAACCAAAATCGCAATTCTGAAATCTGCGTTAGTCTGTCCTACTGTTAACTCTGTCCGGTTGTTCAATTTAAAAAAAAGTACAAAAAAACAAGAAGGAAAAAGAGTACAGTAGTACAGATCAGTTAAAACAAAAACCTTCAAGGAAAGAAAACATGCTGATTATAATAAAATGTGTGATCGAGCAGAAAGAAGAAAATGAAAAAGAAGAAATTCTTACAGTAAGTCAATTTTTGATGTGTCTAGCAGTTCGGCTTCTAATGTAGGTGGAGGAGGTATGTCCACTATTATTGAACTGTAAATCAATAAAGTTGAATAAACATAAAATTGAGGATAGTGCACGTGCTGGCAAAGATTAAAAAATAAATTTTTACACAGAACAAGAGTAAAGAAAAATCCCAAGCAGGTTTATAAATGGAAATGTAAATGTTTAAACTTTTTCTGGGTTGCAGGAATCGTTTAGAAAAATATTCTTGAATGTGCCAAATTGTTTTGCCTTCTTTCGTAAAAGGAATATGAATAAATATACATTGAGCAAATAGTGTAAGATGTTTGGTGTATGGTCAAAAAAGAAGAAAGAATCTAGGTCCATTTGTTACATAGACCTACCAAAAAGAGATATTGTGGCTTTATTATTTTTCATATATTTTACCCAAGAAATTTTTAAATAAAAATCCATATGTTGGAACGGTTTTCAATTCCGAAAACATGCTGACAACCACAATAAGTCAAGGCCAAAAGCTTGTGAAGTGTTTACAGTTTCTTTCTTCTTTCTTTGATCATAGCAGATCCACATCTTGCACTACGTACCACTGGTAGATAATTTACACCCAGTCATTGAGCAAATAGTATTGTTATGGATCTGTCAGACGAGGAGGCAGTGGGGAGAGAAACCAGCCACTGGTGGAATTCTCTTTTATTTAGTTGGGAAGGTTAAGATAGGAGGTCACGATGACGTTTTAGACGGCGTGGAGGATTATAAGGGTGGGATGTTGAGGAAACAGTTGGCCTACCGGGTTAGGGTGGAGGGTTAGTTTAAAGTGTAAATTGAGGAAGCGTGTTCGGAACAGATTATTCACGAATGGGTCTTTAAGGTCGTTATAGATCATTTGATTTGTGACGTAGAGGAGAGCGTGGGTTCGTTGGATGTTGGAGGATTTAGCCGAGCCCAGTTCGTCTCCATAATCCAATTATATATGATGTTTTGTAAGCAGTTAGTTTGTTAATATCATTAGTTAATTTTTATGTAAGGTATTGGTTGAGATAATAACAGGGTCACGAGCGGGATCGAACCAACGACCTTCGGCTAAATACACCGCTGCTCTACCACTTGAGCTCGTGACTTCGATTCAATCGGACACCAACTCCCCATCTCAACCTACCTTTCAAAGTGTCCCTCTGTTTTACCATTTTTCAAATTTTGTATACCAGGATTCGGTTCTCGGCGACGAATGAAATGACCACGGAGAGCTTTAGTAAAGATATATTTCGTTTTACTTATTAAATCCATTATATTTCGTGGTCTAATTGACCAAATAACTTCTTTCAATTAATTAATCTTTATGTCTATCAAATTACTTCTTTCTCTCTTTTTATGTTAGGTTTTGGTTGAAATGAAAAAGCTAGAGCCACGAGCGGGAGATGGGGAGTGGTGTCCGAGTAGCTCAAGTGGTAGAGCAGCGGCGAATTTAGCCGAAGGTCATGGGTTCGAATCCCGCTCGTGACACTGACATTTTTATCTCAACCAATACCTTACATAAATTCTTTTCAATTAAGGTTTTGGTTGAGATAAAAAAGTCATTGCCACAAGCGGGATTCGAACCCACGGCCTTCGGCTAAATACGCCGCTCCTCTACCACTTGAGCTAGCGTGACACTCGGACACTAACTTCCCATCTCAACCTCACTTTTTTTAAATTTTCCCTCCTTTTTGCCATTTTTGAATTGCCAATTTTGCCAACTGATAAGAATTTATTTGGATAAGCGGACCACGAAACCTAATAAAACCTCACAAAAAGATTAATTAATTGAAACATGTTATTTGGTCAATCGGACCACGAAATCGAATGAATTTATATGATTAGGGTTGATTTTGGTCCCAGTAAGCGTATGAATCGTAACTTAAGAAGACATAAAAAAATAAAGACGTTTTTCTCAATCTGACAGTTTGGATGAAATGATATGGAGATAGATTTCTCATAAGGCAAAATGAATCGAAGCAAGAAAAAACGTCATATTGGAAATGATGATGCGTTGAGTTCCGCACTAAAGTTGGGGCAATGGCGAAAAGCGTTTGAATAACTCAAAAATCTGCGAGTAGAGACATAACCTGTGCCGGTTCGACACGTCAAATTTATGGTTTATGGTTCAAATTAAAATACCCGATAGAGAAGACTAGTAGAAAGGGATTCCAGTTAATGCCGATTAAATCTGGTATAAGATGATTCTGGCCGAGTATGGGTCAGGAGTTGGGATCTATGGAAATAAACCAAAGAGTGGAATTCATTTAGACCTTGGGTCATATGCGAGAGACTTTTAGGCGGAGAATATGGCTATTGAACATAAGGAGATCAAAACGCTGGAATACCAAGAGCCATCTACTCAGACAGCCAGGCGGTTTTAAAATTCAGAGTTTTGGGATGCATCAGGGCCCTGTCAGCCATTGGAGGCAACAACAAAGTTATCAGTTTGGATACCAGGGCATGCAAGGCAGAGGCCGATAAATTGGCCAAGGAAAGTTCGACGAGGAAACCTTTGTGACATTTGACATCTGATATTCCAAATTGCAAAGTCCTTAGATCCATAAGACAATGGGTTAAGAATACGTCGTCGATTCAAGGGATTCTATTCCAGAACAGAAACGTAGGAAAAAGTTCATGAAAAAAACCATCACAGAAACTAACGGCATAACTATTAAAGATTGAAGTAGGGACTGCTGACTGGAGGCTCCAGACTAGACCCGGGAGGCAAATGTATAGGCTCCAGTTTGTGCCAGGAAGAAGAAACAGCGGAACATGTCTTCAGCTGGTCGGAAGGCCTATGCAGTGTAACATTCCTACTCCTGGGTGAGGAACTTTAGATAATTAAGATAGATTAGATAACCAATATTGGTCGCGGTGTGTAAGGTCGTAAAGAGGCCGGTTCCTTTTAATTTTAATTTTAATTGCATGTCGTGTTTATCGCCGTTTTGTTATTTATTTTTCTATGTTATTTTATGTGTATTTCGTTATTGCAAATTTGTATGTTTATTACTTTTCAGTGTGAGTTCATTTTAATTTAAGTGTTTACTCTTTTTGGGCTATGTATGACGAACAGGCGGTAGTATAGCTGAATTGCTCAGTCAACAAATACTCCGAGTAACTGTTTTAAAATATTTGATTTTGCACGCGCTTGAACAAAATATTGCAATTTAATTTTTTTTAATTACCTGTCAGCGGTTCTTATTGTGCTGAAACCAGTCTGACCTAAATCGGTGTGTGGTTCGGTTATGTAGCATTCGTGGATTTCTTTCGTTCTGCCGACAGTCGCAGAAACTTCAAATCCAGCCGACACCAAGGCACCTTTAACAAGGAATATTAATTTCTGGGAAATAGACTTCGCGGGTGGTCGCCCATTACCTGCAGAAGGCTTCCTCGAAGGCGATGGGATTTGCGTTTTCTTCGGACTCGGAGGGTCGTGAGAATGGTTCGTCGAACTGCTCGGTTTTCTGCTGTTACTCCTTGATCCCTGTTATCAATAAAATAATATAGTTTGACATAAAACCCTATAAACGCCTGTTTGTACAAACCGGTTTTTCTATCGTGAGATACTTCAGGAGTTTCTGTTCAGGGCCGAACGTAGACATTGGCTGTACTGGTACTGGTCTGTATTTTGCCCTCGGAATCATAACAGTGAGGGATCTGTCTCTCTGTTCCATTGTGCCGTGGAAGCTAAGTGGCGGCGAAGGAGCTTTGCTCTGTTTTCTGCAAGGTCTAGGTCTCTGTGCGTTCAAAGCCACCTACACGATCGTGTATTTTATTTCTCGTCAGTAATGAGTAAAGTTGGTGATTTACCTGTTTGATGTACGGCGGGGGTGTGTGCTCCATACTGGCCTCGCTCGATGTATCCATGTTGATCATGGCTCTCTTGTCTGCCGGCGAAGGTCTCGGTGGCCTGAACCTGAAACCTTGCGGTCTCAGGGCTGCCGCCGCTTTTCTGACCGGCCTTCTCCTCATGCACGACAGCACAAGACAAACGACGAGCAGCACCATCAAGCTGATTCCGACAAGAGAAAGTATGAGCAGCATGACTGAAAAACAAAAGAACCATCAAAAATTATGAAAGGGCGAAGTCTCACTATTGACATATTAGTTGACTAGAACAGCTTATATTTCAGAGTACCTAAAAATCTTCATTTTGATTTATTTTTCTACGTACCTTTTAGATTAATTTGGCAGTATTGGCCGGCGTACCACTGGAAGCATTCACACAATTCTTCTTCTTCGTTTCTCGTGAAGCAATTCCCATGGAAGTTGCACCGCTGGCAGCCTATCATTTCAGCTGAAATTTCAATATTTATTTGCCCAATTGTATTCTCATTCAGAATAAAATTTTTCGAAGTCGGTTTAAACTTTTTTACCTGAGCAAACACGTCCTGGGTAAAGTGTGTTATGAGAAAGGTCGGTGAATCCTTCTTTGCAACTACACGTGTACGTCCCGCGTAAGTTGAAGCATTGCGCGTTCTCCGAACAATCGTGAAATTTCGTATCATTACATTCATCGAAATCTGTAAACGTTTAAAATTAGTCCGATAGAGGAAATACTAGGCGGGTGATAAAGTCATCACCTTCGGCTCTCAAGTGTTCAATTTTCTCTTTGGACGCATGAAGATCCGTCCCGCCTATGCTGAAGTTGTTCGACATCAAATGCTTTTTAAACATCTCCATGAGCTTCATCTCATCCGTGTTTTCAGATAGCTGAAAATATCAAGACATATTAAACATTTCTTTAAAATGTATTACACATTAAATTACCTGGATATAAAAGTTGGCCATGGCGTTGTCTTCTTTATTATCCGGCTTGAAACCAGTTATTTGAAGACTGTGGTAAACATCTCGTATTTCAGACTGCATTATCATTCTGTCCAGTCCTTCTTTGGTCGCTTCAGAAAGTGCCTGATAATCAGTCGAATTGGTGTCGAGGAGGGTCGGGGAATATGTGATTTTTTCAGGGCCTAATCTTTCGAGAGGGATGCTCAAACGGAACGTGTAGGTAGCTGAAATTACACATAAATAATTAATTTATGACTTAAAGATTAAGCGCGATTGGACTCACGTTTACACGGCCTGTCCGGGAACATCCTTGCGAAACCTGGCCTGCATACGCATCTCATGATGTTGTTGATCTTTTGGCACCTCTCGTTCTTTGTCGCTTTACAGTCCGGTTTACACTCGTTATCTGAAGAATGGTGGGATAAAAACCCGCCCAGAAGGACGTTCGGATTGACTTCCTCTTCTTCTTCAGGCGCTTCGATTTCTAATGGTGGCTCGTCGGGGTCGTATTTAGCAGGGGCGTATTGTGAATCTTTGTCCGTCATGATGACCAGAATCGAATCGTTGTCGTTTGTGCCCGCCGTCACCGAGTCGGATTCTTGGACTATTTTAGTCGATTCGGGATGCGGTGGTGTAATAGTCGGAAACACTGTAGTCGTTACTTGCGGCATTGTTGTGGTTACTGTCGACAATATGCTCGTGGGCTTTACTAGAGTATGGATTTCTGTCACGGTATCGAGTAGGGTCGACGTCAAAGTTTTAGTGACAACCAACGTGTGCGTCGACGGCTTTTGCCCTTTGCTCTGGATTATTTTAGATTCCGTTGTCGTGACGGTTAACGTCTGCGTATGAGTGACTACGTGAGTTGTCGCCACGGGAGATACTATTATATTCTGAACAGTGAATGTTTTTGTCGTAGGCTTGTTGCCGACGTTTCCAGCCGGACTCGAGCCGAGTGGATGCTTATCCGCTGGACGGTCTCTTATAAAGAACGGTATTATGCTGTTGTGTAATTTAGTCGCTCTGGCTGGAATAACGAATTGAGTCGCTGGACTGCTGTCGAAGGTCGTGGGCGAGACGGGCGAGGCAGACTCCACGACAAGCGTCGGTTTCAACGACTCAGTCGATGTTGGCAACGATTCTTCTGGGAAGACTGTTTCCGATCCGACAAGAAAAGGTTTTTGAGTTGATGGTCTTGTATTATCCTGCGAGGCCAATGTCGGTGTGTAAAATTTTGTAGATAGCGGAGAGGAGTCGGGATATTTCGGTTTATTTTTATTCAGATGACCTCCAGGTTTGAAGTTGTTGTTAAGAACGACTTTACTCTCTGGTGCGATCACTTCTGGTTTGGCAGGGGGTTCAACTACGAGAGATCCTTCTAAAATGGGGTTTATACTTTCGTGAGACGTCGCTGACGGCTTGGTGTCGTTTCTGTCGGTCGTCTGCCTGTTTTTGTTTCCGTTTCGAACAAAATCGTCCGTCGGTTTAGGAGGTGAAAGAATTTCCGTCGGCACCGGAGGCAGCGGCGGTCTCTCGGTTTCTAAAAACGTCGGTTTCTTGGGCCTGGATTCGATTGTGGGCAGAGGCCTTTCGAACTTGTAGGGAGGTGGATTCGGACGTTTCCTGAAAGGCGGAAACGGCCTTCTGCTGCTCTGAGACGGGCGATGTGTCGTTTTGTCGTGGTTCGGGTATCGAGTCGCCGCTGGCGGAGTCAAACCAAGAACGGCATCGCTTTGGTATGCAGAATTTCTGTCTCGATCGATTTCCATGTTGATCGGCCTCGCCGTGTTGTCTTCTTCCTTCGAAGACGGAGGGATTTCGTATGTTGTAAGTTGAGGGGGAGTTTCATAAGTCGGAAGAGGAAGTTTCTCATCCATATTCATAGCGTAAACGGTGTTGTCGAATGGTGGTTTTGCCGAAGGATGCTGGGGTTGGTTCTGTGGAGCCGTTTGGTCTCTGTTTAAATCAAAAGGGCTATGAGAAGTGCCGACGACATCTACTTTATCGCTGACTATCAATATATGATCCATGTCGTCCTTTGGTGTCATATTTGTAGGTTTTCCCACTGCGACTGTGGCCTGCGAGTCCTCGCCGAACGTGTTGACGTTGGGTATCCCTTTAATGATCGGAGGAGGTTTCTCGGTGTTTTCGAAACCTAAGACGACCGGTCTGGAGTTAATTGCGGAATACTTGACTCCGTTTGCGCCGGACGTGTTGATATCGGGTCGTATCGCGGGTTTCGGCGGTGCTGGTTCGCCGTCATAGTCGAAAAAAGGCTTCGACTTGAGTGGCTGGTTAATCCTCTCGCCACTCCCATCGGTGTGATATTCACTGTTGACCGAGGATTCGCTATCTTGGTCCTCGATATCGTGTCCCAAATGATAATTGACCAATGCAGAAATCGGCGGTGGAGGGGGTGTCATATATTCCAAGCCCGTAGCGTGTTCCAGGATGAAGTTCGCCGCTGGCCTTTTTCCGGTGACAGGCCGCCTTTTGTTGTTGTCGTTGGTCGGAACCTTGAAAACTTCGGACTCAATCCCTTGAGGAGAAAGAGGGACGTCCATCCGTATCGCGTTGGAGGGTATGTGTGCGGCATGAGGCGGTTTGTTTTCGCTGGAAGTGCTCAGGCCGGCGACACCGACCATCCCTACTTCCACATCCGGGTAGGGTGAAGGTTCGTTGAAGATTTCACCCTTCTGGTTGTGTTTTTCGGGCTCCCCGTTGTAAACCAACGCTGTCGACACTCCGTGAGGAATGACTACATTGGCCACTTGAGACGGTTGTATGTTCACCAATAACGGATGGTTAAATTGGTTTTCTTCAAGCTTTTCATCTTTATACACTTGCTGTGAAACGCTGACATTTATAAAATGAGACGGTTCGTCTTTGTTCTCATGTTTTTCAAATGAAGGTTTAGGCACTTTGAATACGGGTCTGTATTTCAGATATTGGTGATCGGTCTGGGGCTGTTTCAATTTATTGTTGTAGTTAACGTTCTGTTCTCCCTGAGATTTCAATCCAGGCAGATTACTTACTATTTGCGGTAATTTAGGATGTTTGTTATTTCCTGGATACAGATTGACCAAAGTTTGCGACTGTTCGTTCTGAGAGTCGATGGGGTATGGGAAATCGGGGTCAGTCGGGACGTCGACCTTTATTTCAGGATAATTTTTGTGAGGCACGTTTAATTTAGGGGGTACTCGATCTCTCAAGGGGATGTAGTGATCTCTGACGGGCGGAGGAGGAGCCAGTATCGTTCCTCCACCAATGTGATGGTCTCTCTTCGGTGGAAACCTCGGTATCTCGGGATTCGAAGGTACTCTGTGAGGTACGTGACTGCTTGGGTATCTTTCTTGATCTCTCGGGGGCCAGTTGGGCTTCGGCGGCGAAGATTGGGGAGGAGGTGGCGGCGGCGGCGGCTTCATACCCTCAACGTTGTCTTTTCCGAAGGGCTTGACGGGGGGGCGAGGACCGTGTACGGCGTGCTTTCCGATAATTACATCGCTGTTGGTTGTAATCACTTGACCAGGGCTTATGGGAATTCCGCCCGAGAGCAGTGCGGCTTCGATGTTGGGTCTGTCTCGTAAAGGTTTCGTCCGCTGGTTTACTTCTGGGTAAATGTTGTGACCGTCGTAGTGTTGACTCTCTGAGGGTTCGCTGTCGAACACTCCTCCCACCGGGATGTAAACCGGCGATCTAGGGGTGGTGCCGATTTCTTTTTGCTGCGTTTCAAAAGGGTTGTGAGGTGCGAAATGGACCACCGGTCTCGGAGCGGACACGTTTGGTTGTTTTCCGTTGAAATTCGAATGGAACAAATCAGCCATCGCGTTTATAACAGGGCCGAGGGCGTTGAAACCGTTAAATATGTTAACAGATCCGGAGCTTCCACTCGTTATTGGACCGTTTACTATATCTGGTATCGACACTTGGTCCTTGTCGTAATCTGTCACTTTTGTGTTGTATGTCTGACTGGCTGAAGTCGGAGAAGGCTTAGCAGTTTTTGACAGCGTGGGCGTAGCAGTTTTCGATTGAAGATTGTGATCTTTGTGCGAATCGGTGAAAGACGGTTGGACGAAACTCGGCGTGCTGTCCATTTGGTCTTCTTCGTCGAAGAATATGATAGTTGAGCCAGTGATGACGTTACTCGGCGTCACTTCGGTAAAAGACGTCGCCACACTCGGCGATTCGGTCTCTCGGATCAAGTCGGACGTCATAGCCGTAATTTCCATCTGGTCACCGTTGTTCAAAGTAGCCGTCGCAATTATAGAATCGTGATTATCGTTAACCGAACTTTTTAACAGGTCTAAATAACCGGTGTCGAGAAGGCCGCTGTCTACAGTTTCGGTGACAATGTTCTGTTGCACTTTCGTTCTCGATTTAACTACTATACTGGGCGATTTGTTGTCTTGAAGCAGAGTTGTAAAGTAGGTGAACGTGGTCAGGTATGTTTTCGTGGCGAAAAGATTTATCGGTTGAGAATCCGACTGGTCTCCAGTTTCGTGGACTTTAGTCTCTGGGGTCTGTGCGACCTCCGTCGACGTCTTCTTCGGCTGTATCGTGAACGTTTCGGTAACTATATCCGAAGACGTTGCCACTTCCGTGTTGACGATGGTCTTACCGTCTTCAACTTTCGTCTTGAAATATGTGTAAGTGGCGAAGTAAGTTTTGGTCACGTCCGTCGTGATGGCAGTAGGTCGGATTTCTTCAGACAACGATGAAGGTAAGTAATCCGATTCAGTGATGACTACTTGAGTCAAGACGTCTTCAGTACTCACGACTTTCATCTCATCTCCTTCACTCAACGTTTTCGTATAGGCAACTAAAAACAAAAAAAAATTAACCGACGATTCATAATTTAAATACTGATTATTTACCTGTGCTTAGGTATGTATTGGTATCTTGAACTGGCAATTCTGAAGGCTGGATAAAATTGGACTGCTCGGTGACCGTATTCGACACTGTCTTCTTTGACGTCACGACCAGAGGAAGTTCACCGTCCACGAGCGTGTTCAAGTAAGTGTACGTGGTGTGGTACACTCCTGTCATCAGCTCGGGGCTGCTGGTAAGGGTGAAGTGGTCGACGGGCCTCGTCTTGCTCGGATTGACCTCCTCCGTCACAACGTTCGATACGACTTTTTCTCGGCTCGAAACCACCGTGGATCCTTCTTGAGCAAAAGTCGTCAGGTAAGTGTACGTCGTCATGTATGTTTTCGTTATGAAATCGTTATGCGGTTTCTAAAAACAGAAAAACAATTGAAAACCGAGAAAAGGGATTAAAATATTCGAAACTCACTTGACTCTCCTGAGGCAACAGCATCATCATGTGGTCCGTCAACGTGCTAGGTGCTAGAGTTATGGGCTTGGCCAGGCCAGATGGGATCACCCTAAGCTGAGGAGAGCCAGGAAGCGTGCTTTTACCCCCAGCGACGATCACCTCCACTCCATTGCTCATTACTTTAGTGGCCAAATTGTATCGTGGCTCAACAACGTACAGCCCTCTGCCGATCTCAGTATTTGCTGGGTAAAGCACATAAAGTCGATTAGAATATTTTATACTCTTAAGAAAAGTAAACTGAATTCGGAATGCTAAATGCACATTCAACCTTAAAACGTTAAAAATAATTTCGCTCTATGTAATTGTTTAAAGTCGACAGCAGGGTTTTTAAACTGAAATTTTATGTTTCACTGTAATACAAAATTTTATGCTCGCTCAACGCCAACTGTATGTCACTCTCTATCTAAAATCGATAAAGTAATAATGAATACAGTGAAACTTCCCTCAACGTACACCTCTAAAAACCGGACGCCTCTCTTGGGCGGAGTAATTCTGATTCGCGACGTTTTCCTACATTTTTTACATTAAAATCTTCTCTAGAGCACTTCTAGTTAATATGATGTTAAAAAATGAGCATTGTCAGGGAAAAAAAGTTATTAATTTTTCACAAATTTGCTCGGTGAATTTGAAAACCCTCGGGTCGTAGGAAAGACAAAAATACTTAGTGTTTCGAAAATATCCATATTGTAATACCTATTGTCGCCCTCTAAGAATAAGTTTAGGATTAAGATTGATTTATTATCCATTATTTTTTACAATGTCTTAATACATTGGCATATTTATATTTTTTAATTTATTACATGTTTGTTGTTAGTTTGTACCATGCAAGACGGCTTATGCTAAGTCCTTGCATGGAGTTGTGTGGCTAATGAGTACACATATTTTTATTAATTTTTGTAATATTGTCAATAAAAATTTTAAATAAAGATTGTACTTAACTATTTACATATTTGAATGTTTGATCTAATACAGAATTTTGAATTTGTTATTTTATTGTACACTTTAGTTATACTATTATATTATAGGTGTATGTATAAGTAGTTAAGAAGTTAAATGAATTAAATCATATTGAAACAGTTTATAATTCATTTCTCAAGTCATTTGTTAATTATTTTTCTGTAGATACTTAAATTTACCTTTTGCAGAAGGCCATATAGATTGGAGAATAGTTTATTTAACAAATAGTTGTTCGGTAATTTGGTTAATTTTGGCTAATTTATTTTTTTTAATCATCGGCAGTTTGATTCTACATACAATTAATCTTGTAACACATTTGTTCTGAAACAATTTACCATTTTCCTTGCATAATAATATAAATAAATTTTTTATATAGATTTGATATATGCTGTAAACTCCTATTTCCTCAAATAATAATTTTGATGTATAACCGAATATTTTTTGTATAATATTTTCAGGCATCTTTTTTTGTAGGATATAACTGGCTCAAAAATAATCTATATGTAATCCCCCCCCCCAGCAGTAATTCCAAATTGCATTACTGATTGGAAAAGGGTTGTAAATATTCATTTTTTAGTTTTAATTTAATCTTGTAATACTAAACATGTTTTTCACTCTTAAACCAAAAGCGGACGTATAGCGGACAATATTTGCTTCCTCAATAGTGTCCGTTATAGGGAAGTTGCACTATAAATGTGTAATTAAATAATAAACGATCGGTTAGATTGACCCTCAACGTTAAACCGCTATGCGGGTTTAGTATAGCTAGAGGTAAGAGCAAAAATAATTTTAAACGGGACCAAATTTTATTAGGCCTAGGTACGTTTTCGCGATATTAAATTTACAAACCATTTTCTTTAACCACAACTTTTTAACACTTAAAAAATTAATTGTTATGAATGAGACGATTAACAAGTTTATTGAGCGATAAATTAAGGCAATAACAATTAAATTAATTTTTGATTGGGCTGATTGAATAATGAAGATGTTTGAACATAATTCAGACTTGTTTATGAAGTTTAAACTGTTTGTTAAAAGAATTACTTTGTTACCAAGCCAAGTTTATATATTTATTTAAACAAGCATTATCACACTGCTGACGAATACATTTTTTCCCGTAATCTAAACAGAACATAAAAGAATAATTAATTAATTTTATCGGTTTTGGTTTGTTTGTTTACAGGAGAGTAGAATATACAAAATTAAGTTTAGAAATCGATAAGAGTAGTTTGAGTTTGACCTATCACCCTTGAGAGTTTATTAAAAGTTATAGATAGAAAAAGAAAGACGGACACAGTGAAATCTGTACATTTTTGATGTTGTATAACTCGTTATATTTACAGAAGAGCAAAATATTTATATATTATATTTATAAATATGATTTGAGTTCAAAGGATGTTTGAAACATGCCCTCACCTGTGGCTGTCGGTGTGACGGGAACGGTTTCCGTGACTGTCACCGTCTTCACATCGGGTTTGACAGAGGTCGAAGAGGTTATTATTTGTTCGCTTCCGCTCACCCTCGTGACGACGTAAGTGTAAGTCCTGAGTCTGGTAGTTGTCAGTGTCTTTGTCACAGTCTCATATTCGGTCGTCGGTACGACCGTCTGTGTGACGTCTTCCGTCACGTCGTCATACGGGAAAATCGTGACGAAAGTCGGGTCGAGTTCGAACTTTTCTTCTTGGTTTTCTGTAACGGCCTCTTGTTCTTCTTCGTATTCGTCTTTGGATTCAGGGGTCTGCGTCGGCTCGAAATCTTCGTATTCTTCGTACGTGTCTGGCTCTTCTTCTTCTTCCGGCTCTTCTTCCGTAGCATCATAAGATTCCGGCTGTTGTTCTTCCTTATCATCGGATTCTGTCTTGCGTTCTTTCGTATCAACATCGGATTCCGGTTGTCGATCTTCCGTGCCGTTGGCTGAATCCGGCTGCGTGGTCACGTTCTCTTCGAAGACATTCGGCTCTGTCGTCGGTCTTTGTTCCGAGTCCTGTGGGGTCGACTGCACGTATTGTTCTTCGAACGGCGTCGTGGGTGCGTGTTCTGTCTCACTTTCTACATATTTCGTCGTTTCCCTGTACAGAGTGTCGCCCCTTATCACCGTCGGCTTCACCGGTCGCACTATTTTCGGTTGGCCGGCATGAGAACTGGCCGATTCGCGTTCATTTTCTGTTTTACCACTTTCGAGTTCGAATGAGGGTTCGTTTAAGATCTCTTTGATTTTGTCTTCCATGTTCGGCGCCAGGTAGACGCTGTCCGGGCCGCTCATGAACACCTGAGAAACCATGACGCTCGCTTTCCCTTCTTCCGAAGGTATGGAATATTGATAGTTGTATAGCGTCGACATGTCCAACACGGGTGAACTCTGTATGTCTTCTGTTTGTAGCGGTCGCTTTTTTGTAATCGTAATCCTCCTTCTTTGGGTCGGTTCGGTAAATCCACTATCTTGAGTCACAAGCCGTTTTTTGGTCTTTAATATCCTCCTCCTTTTCGGTTGGATGGTCTCGTGAAGCGGCCGAGGGCTTTCCTCCGTTTCTTTTATGTATTCCGTCGGCTCTACTTCGATCGGGTCAATCGGGCGTCGTCTCGTGACGACAATTCTCCTTTTTGGAGTTTCGCCACCGACCATTTCAGAAATTCTTTTCTTAGCCACTCTTACTCTTTTCACATTCCTTTCTGTAGTGGGTTCTTCGAAAAAATATTCAGTCGGTGATTGACGGGTCGCCTGCTCGGTCGTGGAATCGTAATCGTCTTCGTCCTCTTCTCGGACGGGTTTCGCTCTCACGATAGGTACTTTGATCCTTATTAATTTTCGTTTTGGTTGGTCCTGTTCAATTTGACGTTTTCTCCTCAACGGTGCGTCGCTCCTTGAAGAGGCCTTCCGCTGATCCGGAGCAGACTCAGCGAGGCCTTTCAATAAAAAATGACCGGTAGTCGAGTATTGGATTCGGTCGTCTTTGTACGAACTGGATAAATACTTACTGACGTCGCCTATTACGCTTTCCAGACTCTGCGTTTCTATTTCGCTACTCTCTATGACGACTTCATCGAGGACCGGCGTTACGTAATTGCTCAGATCATCCGAGAAGGAACTTCCCAGTTGCGGCAACTTCGACGCTTCAATTTTGTAGTATTTAAGATCTTTCGGACTTATTTCTCGCTTTCTCAAGGAACTTGATTCGTCTCCACCAACTACAGTTGACAGAAGAGTAGTAAATTCACCTGGGTGCTTTCCAGAGACGTATAAAGTCACCACGCTGGTCGGGATCGGCTTATCCGGCGCTTTTATTTTACCTTTTTTCCTCGATTTTTGCACTGGCTCTTCGACGGATTCCCTCACCGGCCTTTCGTCTTCCAGGTCGTCGTCCTTATCTTTGCTGTACCTTTGTTCGATGTCGTCGTCGTCGTCGTCTTGAACTTTCGTATTTAAAAAGTCCTGCTGATTGTTTTTAGGCTTTTGCTGATTTCCCAAAAGCTGAGCTTGAAGGAGTGCCGGGAGTAAAAGCGTGTTGAGCTGATTGGTGATCTGCGGCGCGACGACGGCCGTTGGCGTCACGACGATCGTCTCGGTGAGATATTCAGTAGCCGTTATCACTTGAGTGGAACTGTCGACAATAGTTGTGGTTATAGCTTTACCTCGGAAGGTCAGAGGGAGTACCGTGGATGTGTGGGAAGTGACCGTTGTGACGTAGGTTGTCGTTTTGGTCTTGAATTCCGTCGTCGGTGTTCCCGGTGTTTGTACAACAGTGTTCGGCATGCCCAAATTTCCCAGTAACAACTGCGATAGTAGTAGATTCGCTAGAGGAGCGTTTCCTAGATCGGGTTGGACAGTGCTGATCTCAGGTCGTACTTCGTATATCGTGCTTGGTACAATGTGAGAGAATGACGTTTTCCTACCCCGCAAGGTAGTCGGGGTAAAAGTGACACTGGTAGTCGGTGTTTCGTAAACTAAAAATTTCGTCACTTCCATAAATCCATTAGGTAGCGTGGAAGTGATTTCACTTGTGAGCTGGATGGTGGATTTTCCGTCTTTTCCGAAAGAGCTCGTGTATTGATATGGCCCCAGAACCTCGAGGCTGGGCTTTGCAGTTATCACATTTTTGTATTCTGTACTTTTACCGTTAAAAACTGGAATGGTGACTTCTGTCGGAATTTTATGCGTCACTGTGATAGTCCCGTCAAACGCTGGAGTAACGTAAGGGTCGAAATCGTTTTTATCCCTATATCTGTTAGTCCTTGTAGTTTTTCTTTGAGAGTTGTATCTCCGACTGCTACCCCTTGTGAAAGTGGTGGCTTCGGTAGTCGGATTTCTCGACCGAGACGAGGATTTCTGTCTTGGTGACACAGTCGTCAATTCGGACGATACTCTCCTCCTAGGCGATGACGTGGGCCTTCTGAAATTGTTCAGTCTCGGGTTCGCTGTCGTTTGAGACGTCCTTTCCCTCAGAGTGAATTGATGTCGCGGTGTGCTGGAAGTAGGCGACGGGCGGAGCTTCTGTTGGTTCTGTTGGTAATTCGACTGACCCCGTGATCTTGACGAATAACTTCTGGTCGCAGGTTTCACCGGTTCTTGAACGACTTCGTCGTAATAATAATCGGGGGAGGTCGTTCTTGTAGAAGGCCTTCGGTACCTAGCAGTGTACCCGCGGCTCCCGTATTCCGACGCTTGTCTTTTCGTCCTTGGACGTCTCGTGAACGGCCTGATTTGAACTTGGTTGAAACCTTTTGATCTTCTTCTGTTCGATCTCGGAGGTTCGGTCGTCGTCGAAGAAGTCTGTTCCGCCGTTTCCGATCCTTCGTATTCGTTATCTTGAATGTCGTCTCCACTTTCATCTATTTGATCTTCTTCGTTTTCTTCTTTTTCTTCTAATTCTTCTTTAGGCTGTTTTCTAGCCAGGCCTCTCGGCGGGAATAAGTTGCCCGCTGGCCTTTGTTTAACCCTGTTGTTGGTGAAACTAGGTACTGGTCGGGTTTTCGGTGCGTTGTATGAAGATCCGGCCCTGCTGTCGGGGCGGCGTAATAACGAACTCCGTTTGGGCGTGGTGGACGGCTTGGGCGTAGTTGTGGTGGTCGTACTCGGCCTTTGAAGGATCGGGGGCCTTCTGAACCTGAGCAATGGGTTATTGGCTCGTCTCGGTGATTCCGTCGAAGTCGTAGGGGCGGCCGTCACCGCTTCCTCGTCACCCGGATGTGTATTTTGTTCAATTTCTTCTGTAACCGCTGCAGCTCCTGTGATATCATTGATATTGACGTCTTCTGCTAAAGTAGAAGAGCCGGAAAACCTCCCGTTGGCTTGAGTAGGTCTAATTCTAAACCTAGAGGAGCTAGCGGACAAATTGGGAAGGTTCGGCCTTCCAGTCGATCGGTAGTTGAATCCACCTCTACGGGCTGAAGTAGAGGAAATAGTCGGTAGCACTTTAGTTGAAGATCTACTACGCCCACCTCCAAAGGTAGGAGTAGAACTGCTTCTCGGGCGAGAATATCTCCTAGAACTCGAAGTAGTTGGTCTAAACTCCGCGCTCGACGATTTTCTACTAGGTGCGAATCTGTTTCTACTCGATCCAAAACCGGTTTTTGACGCCGGAGTCGCAGTCACTGTGGGTGTAAAAGAGGTTCGCGTAATTGTTGTGGCCGGGTCGCCGGTTTTCTTTTTGGGAAGGAACGTCGGCCTCGGTCTCGATGAAAATGGGCGAATCACAGGAGTAAATTGTTTTTTCTTCGATGTAAAACTCAACCTTGATTTAAAATGTCCGTCTTCGTCATCGTCCCCTCCGTCTGCCTCTTTGTCTTCGTTTTCGTTGTTCAACGAACTTTCTATCGCTGCCGGTCCCGGTGCCGTGGACGTCACCGTGGGCGAAATGACAGATCCGGGAGGAACCGTGGAAGTCGGAGAAACTGCCGTAGTCTGAGGAAGGTCAGATTTGAAGCTCGACGTGCTTTCTATTATTTGAGCGTACCTTCCGTCGATTATGGTTCCGATGACTCTAGACTCGTAAAAGGTCGTGACGTCTTTGTCTTTGATAACCGACCCTTCGATGAGCCGTACGAGGCCTGTTGTAAACACCTTGGACCCGATCATTGTGGTAGATGGCGGAGCTTCCAGATTAGCAGTTTTCTTTTCTTCGTCAACTACAACAGTAGAAGTGCTTTCGACCACTTGAGCGTAAAGGTCGTCTATATACGTTCCAATAGCTTTAGTAGTAAAGAGAGTAGTCGATATACCAGCCGCATCGACTATTTTGCCTTCATTTAAAGATACTATTCCAGTGGGTTGAAGTTTTGCCGCTGACGAAGCTGTTGGGGTGACAACTTCAGACGAACTCTCGAGAACTTGAGCGTACAAGCCGTCAATGTAAGTTCCATAAACGTCTGTATTGAGGAGGGTCGTCAATCCTTCGTTGATCACGGTGCTTCTTATCGTCGAAATCAATCCTGTCGGTTGTAGGCTGGGAGTGGGAGTTGTGGTAGATTCTCCTTCAACAGCATCGACAGTGGAGGACGATTCCACTTCGGATGTTTGTAACGACTGGCTATCAGAGGCTGTCGGTGTGACGACGTTCGTTTCAGTTTCTAAATGGCTATTTATAACAGTATCGTTGCCGATATAAGAAGTCGTGAAATATGTATAAGTTGTGTAATATGTTGTCGGCTCTAATATTACTTCTGAAGAGGTTGGCGTTGCGGTGATCTCTTCCGATGTCTGGTCAGGGAAGACGGTGGGTAGATCTGCTGAAACGGGAGAAACAGATTCCTGAGAAGCGTCTGAAGTCGGAATGATTTCCACGGATTGGGATAACGGGGTTTCTAATAACAATGGGGTTTCTGTTAAGAGAATCGATTGACTAGTGGATGAGGATAAAGTGGGCGTGACAATATTGGAAACGGTTTCTTCTCTGCTTGTGATCATCGTGCTTTTTCCTTTGTAGAGAGTAGTCCAATAAGTAAAAGTTGTGAAATAAGTTATGGGCAGTGTCGCTTCTTCCGGACTTAAATTGGTTTCTACTTCTGTGGGTCTAACAGTTTCTGTAACTAAGTTCGTAACAGTCTCTAGCCGACTGATCACATCGCTAGACGTGCCTTTGTAAACTGTTGTGAAGTATGTGAATGTAGTGTAGCTTGTCTGAAGCAGCACGGTCGGTGAGAACGACGGTTCGATTTCTTCAGTGTTGCTCTCAGCACTTACTTGATCGTTCGGATTCGATTCGTACTCTTCGTATGATTTGCGACGATTGCCGCCTGAGCTGCTGCTCGTGACATCGGTTACTATAGTTTCCACATACTCGCTGTCTTCGAAATCAGATATGGTTTCTTTTTTCAATTCTTCTCTAGCCGACAAAAGGTCTCTTTCGCCCGGTTTTCCGACAAATGGCTTTGTGGACGTTACTCTGTCGTTTCTCGACATCGTCGTATCATATGAATAAGTGTCGTCGATACTGGATTGCAACTTAGGGTCTACTAGTGCTTCAGACGAAGGAGATCCGTGGAATACCGGTCTTGATATCGTTCCGTAAGCCGGCTTTTTTTTGTTTTCCAAAGCTTCATCAGATCCGTCTGCGTTTTGATATTCTTTGGGTACAACGTTGTTTTCATCGGTCAAAACTGTTTTATACTGTACTTGGCTCACCGAAGTCGGATTTATTGTTTCTTTCACGACTTCAGTTCTGCTTTCTATCAATGTTTCACCGTCAACAAAAACGGTCGTGTAATAAGTGTACGTTTTGTATTCTTCGACGGGCGAGGGCACTTCTGGAGACTTGTCCGAAGAAAGGTTTTCAACGACATTCGTAGGCTTTATCGATTTAAACAATCCTGCTACAGCAGGGTCGGTCGCTTCGGGTAAATTATTCGTGTCTAAAGTGGAAGTGACTACATTGGTTTCAACGACTTCCCTACTCCTGACGCTGGTCGTCGACTCTTGGAAGAATGTAGTCAGATAAGTGTATGTCGTATATAACGTCCTTATTATAATATCCACTTCTTCTTCTTTCTCAGTGGTCGTCGGTTCGAGTGTCGTTGTATCTGGATTGCCGTAGTCTTGAGTGACAGGATTGACGTTGGTCGTGATATCGGTGGGGAGCTGTGGTGTAGAGCCGGACGGGGTGTCTTCTGTAGTCGAACCGATCTCTTCCGGGGTCGTTGTCTGATACGATTCGGTCACTCCTGTCGGAGATATATTTAGATCCGGAGGAGTGGTGTTTTCGTATTGAGGAACTGCAGTAGTGACGTAACGGATTTCATCAGAGACGACTTCTCTAGTTTTGACGGATGTGCTCGTCGTTTCTCCTTTAGGGATGAAGAAAGTTGTGAAATAAGTGTAAGTGTTGTGCACAGTCGTTGGAACTAATTTAGTGATATAGTCAGAATCATTCTTGTTTTCTTCGTTTTGTTCGGTGGTAATATCATCGTTCTGTTCTGTCGTAGAAGGAGGATTTTCTGTGGTACTCGTCGTGTCGGCATCTTCAGTTGTAGTCTCAGCGGCTGTAATTGTCGGCTTAGACAGCACAGGAGTCGGGGTTATTGCTTTCGGAGTGGCCGTACTAGAGACCACTTGAGTGAGCTGAGTGTAACTCCCTTCTATGATCGTACCGAACAAAAAGGAAGTCAGATAAGTCGTTGTGGAGTCTGACGCTTGGATGACTGCTATAGATTTGGCAAGCCCTAAAGGCTCATCCCCAGGAATGAACACCCTTGTTTTCGTCGTAGTATAAGTATATCCTAATTTGAGAGCTTCTGTCGGAGTCACTTCTTCCATCGGCATGTCCGGTTCGGAACTATCGAAAATGTGACCGTCTTGTTCCGTCGTCGTCTGTTCCGTCACGAATTCCGACGTACCTTCAGCCGTTGTATGCTCAGAAGTCGGGATTTCTTCGGTCGTCGGGTACTGTTCGACAGTGACGAAAACGGGGTTGTACGCTTTGCTGGCTCTAGTGTCGGCTTGAACCGTAGGGAGAGAGGTCTGCACGTTCAAATTGTGACCGGTTACTGTTTTCGTCGCCATCGCTGGAGAATGAGACATGAACGTTTTGACAGTGGTCACAACCGGGTGTAAAGCGTCTTCCGGCCGCAGAGTGGCAGCGCCAGCGATCGACGTCACCGGGCCAGTATTAGCCGCCGCAGTCTTGGGCATAAATATGATGACCGTGTTACCGACAGTCGTGGTGAAGTCCGCGAACCCGACATAAGTGACCGTGTCAAACTTTTGGAACTCGTTCTTGATTTGAACACCTCCTCTGAAAAGTCCCTTGCCGAGTCTCGACTTTTTCGGCTCTTTGATGGTGTCTACTTGCTCCGAGTAACCGCTCGGGGCGAATTCATTTTTGATCGTCACCGTCGGCAGATTGCCGTTCGGTTTCACTTTGGCCGGCTTCACTTCGGTGTTCTTCTTGACTGAAAACTCTTTTCTCACGGATATAACGTTCTTCGGTTGAAGCGTCGTGGCCGGTTCTTCCTTTATCTCGTTCAAACTAGGCAGGTTCGTCGGAGACTCTTGGGACGACGGAGTGAACGGTTCCGCGGTCTGGTACTGCACTTGGCTCCTCGTCGGGCTTATCCCCGGTATGGTCGGAAAGACCAGGTAAGGGTCTTTCGCCTGCCTCGAGCTGTCGTAGAACACCCGGGATCCCGTGCTAAGCAGTTTCGCGTAGGTTTTACCGACTGTCGTCCCGAGTATCTGTGTAGCAAACTCTGTCGTCGCTCCGTTGTTAACAAAGGTACGTGCCGTCGACGAGAGTACGCCCACCGGCGGATCCCGCAACCTCCCATTCTCCTCCAAAGATAGAACAGTCACATCTAATCGGAAAGTGAAGGAGTTAGTTACAGAGTATCATAAACTGAGGCGGCCTATTCTCGCTTATGCTCGCAGGAGAATCCTGCGGTTACGAGTAAGGGGAAGAGAATAAATTATTTCATAATAAAAAAATTAAACAATTAAATCAAAATCTACCATTTTTCTTAGAATTTTAAGTGTCTTACCACAAATTGACATTAATTAATTAAATTAAAGGCGTGTAGATAATGAAAATTGTAATTGTAATTGTCCAAGCTATGAAAAATCATCCTTTATTTTATTCACGGTGAAAAACAAAAGACTTTTTTTTAGTTGTTTAATAGAAAAATCTTAATTTAGAATATCAATTATTTTGTTACAAGAGAGAAAAAAGGAGCGAGAATTGGCCGATAAAGTAGGAAGACACAAGAAAAGAAAAAAGTGACACACAGACAAGTAGTAATATATACAAAATATATATAGAAAATTATACATATATATATATTCCAAGAGTTTTCTCATGCTCAGTGCTCGAAATTTACAGTTTTTAATTTATGAAAATGTTTTAGACAAAAGCACGGAACATCGAATTAAGAGGAGCACACCAAGGACAGATATTTCCATGATCGCAAGCCCGTATATAGCCCGGTCGTAGTCGGATTCAATAGGCCACGAAGCCTTTCTCGGATTATATTTGCATTGATAATCTTATAAATGGAAGTTTCAAAGATATGACGGGATGGTAGGGACTTACTAAGATTAAAAGCCATTTTAAAGGGAAAGTGGCCGGTGCCGGAGAATAAGTCCTTCGTGACAATGCAAGGTCTCATATTTCGTCAGTGTCGTGTCATAAATCGTTGCACTTGAGCTAGGACATCCCCAACCGTACGATTAAAGAAATATTAAAATTTTAAAATCTCTCCGGTTAAGACGTTATGTGTGGAATGTAAAATTAAATACAAAGTTTAAAATCATATTGATTTTTCATGATTTACATAGTATGAATTTGGTTCAAATGAAAGATTTAGTAAACCGGTCGACTGGCGATGGAAATTGGTCTGCAGCAATCGACGATCGTTACATGACCTCTCTTCTTCAGACAACCACCTCTTCCGTGTCATGGCCTACTTGTGGGGTAGGCATCAGGGAGTGGAACAGATAAAAAATTAAGTGTGAGACTGGCGCAAATATAACATTAATAGGTATTTGAGTGTTTTCATGGTGGAACTGCAGAGCGAATGATCTGTTTTAGATTATTCGGAGATGGTGAGATGCGGTCTGGTGTGACGTAGGTTTTATAAAAAACATTTTTTTTAGCGTGCCAACGTCTGCGTAATTGTGCTATTCTTGTCAACTCAACACTACAGACAAGAATGACACATCTATACGGAAAACAAACACTTTGAGCCCTGAAGATGATTTCAATAAAGGTCGAAACGTAGGCACGATAAAGAAAATGTTTTTCTAAAACCTACGTCACACCAGACCGCATCTCACCACCTCCGAATAATCATTGACGAACGGTCACTAAACACCACACAGATCTGTTTTAGTTTTTTCTTGGTTAAAGCGCCTAAATTTCGATTTCTGTACAATCATTCCACAATGTAATATGAAGCAAGAAAAATAACCTAATTTGAAAAACGAGAAAAGAAGGACAAAGATAGTAATGTCAAAACTTGGTCTACTTAAAAATAATTGTGATATCAGTCTAATACATTACAAAGAATTCATTAATAATATCTTATTAAGATTTAGTTTTATTAAAAAAATCATTTTCAGAACTGATTTCGATCAAATTTTCGTTCGTGGTTCCGCCGGACTCGCACGTGGGACTTTTTTCCTCTAGATTGATTAAATATAAAATATGTATCAGTGTTAAAGCGATTTCTCCCGGGTTTGGAAAGCTCTGCGACCTTGGGGTGTGTCCTTGACGAAAATGGTTTTTGACGGATGTTAGAAAGTCACCAGGGTTCTCCTCTCAGGATATATCTTAGCAAGGACTCACCTCCGGTCTCCCTCTTCCACCTCTTGCCGTCTTCACTTCCATTGAGCAAATCTTCGCCGTCTCCTGAAACAAAATGAAAAACGAATTGAACAAACAATTTTTATATAACAAAAAGGGGGGTTGAAAGGTGGTTTATTTTAAAGACGCTTTGTGTAGGTCGAACGGTCACGAATCACGGTCGATGCCTGGACGATGGTTTCTTCCGTAGAAGGATGCTTTAATATGTGAAAAGTAATGCCGCATAAACTTACAATTAGAATTGTTCAGTTAACCGACAAACTGACAAAGAGAGAAGGAGAGAGAAAATAGAATGATGTATTTACTATCTGACATTAATTTGTCATTGAATAATTTGATCATTCTTGACTATCTTCCCCTGTAGAGTAGTATCTTCAATGATCTTCAGTTCAATTCGCGTGTTATAACTTGAATTAATATTACCTAAGTCCTAGTTAAGAAAAAGATTCACTCAACATAATACATTGACAGGCAAAGAATTCCACCCGCTTGTAATATAACTTGATTTGTATACATTTTTTATATATTAATCAAAGTTTAACGTTTTTTAACGTTTAATAATGTCTAAAATTTTAATTAGATTTTAAATTAATATTTCAATACCGCGTATATTCTCCTCTTGTCTTAATTACATCTCGAAGACGCCTCGGCATTCTTTCTACCAGTCTGGAAATGTCTCTTTGCTGAAGGTTAGCTCATTCTTCTCGAAGAGTACTTTCAAGATCGAGGAGTGTATCAGGAAGTGATGGACGTGGATTATTCCTCTTTTGGGGTTATCCCATGAATGTTCGGTGGGGATTCAAGTCTGGAGAACGGGCTGGCCAGGCTAAGACCCTGATGTTATGCTGTTCAAGGTACGTTTGTACTATGCGAGCGACATGTGGACGTGCATTATCGGGGCCACCATATCTTCTATGGGAGGGCCCAGTTACTCTAAAACGTCTAACGGCGTCTCGCAGAGTTTCGTAGAGAACTCCGATGGCAATAGCCGCATACCTGATGGAACGTCCAACATCAATAAGTGCCACACCTCGCGCAACATCCTCAGCCCTAAGTGCATTTTTAAGTTTAAAAATTGAAATTAAGAAAACAAAGATGAAAACTAAATAGTTTCTTGCTTCAGAATTCAAATGAGACTGAATAAACATTGAAAATTCCGTAAATAATAATATAATTATAATAATACTTTATTAATACAAAATATCCTTGTTTTGGATTATGGATTAGTGTGTTTACGTCTAATTGATATTCCCAATTTAATACATAGCATAAACAAATATTGATTGGTAAAAACTATGAGACAAATTAAACACAGAACTTTCTTTTATCGAGAAAATAAAAAATCAATTGGGTGGTATTTTTTGCCTGTCAGTGTATGTGATTTTTATAAATGATCCTAATGATCGTGCCCATATATCTCGGCTTAATTCATTTCCTTTAAATCCGCAAATAAAACATTTGTAAATAGTCATTCCAGTTGATTTGAATATAAACGGCGATTTAGGCGTGGAGAACGGATATGATCGATTGTCGGGAAACTCGGAGCAAGACGGCGATTTGGGTTGATACCAAAAGTTCCGTTGTCCAGAATTATAACGCCGGCTTTCCTTCGGGCCTTATCCAATCTTCCTAGAAGACCAAAGACGGTATTCACAAAAGTGGAATATTGACACCTGTGGTCCTCTTCCCGGGGGGGAAGGAACTGTAACGCGCTGCCATCGATCCACCGTACTGTACAACTAGATCTTCTTTGTTATTATGCAAAAAACATGACATCTGGAATACATATTTTACGATACTGGTAGTTTTTTTAAACGTCTGTGAGGAATGTGAAGAAATATTTTAAGGGAAATAGAGAATTGCGTGAGTGATATTCTTATGTAGACAATATAAAGTCCAAATAATTTATTCTAAATAGAGTAAATGATATATACATTAGACAGAATTAAATTGCAATATATTTGATCACATATGAAAAAAAAAACACGAAACAAATCACTTTCGACCAGTAAATCAGAAAATCCTTTTAATTATTTGTCTATTTTGTCTGTTTTCAAACCCGAGTGTCTTCTCATTTCATGATTTATGATTTAGAACTGAAAAAGCAAGGACAGTAGACAACACAAATAGTATTGTAATTTGTCACCTCACTGGTCACATGTGTATTTTGTAAAAATTATTATTTTTTTTACACCTACAATCTTCGCTACAATAAGTAAATTGATCATTCATGAAACATGATGGGAGAAGCCACCCACTGGTGACAGACCCTCACACTGTAAAAACGCACATATCACTGAAGCAAATCCCTAGGCTATTGCCTCTTCAGCTGATGTGGAGGATTTCCAGGTAGAGTAATGTGGAAAGTTGTTGGGTGTATAAAAAGAGTATTGCAGAGTTTCTGATAATGTGTTCTTAAAAGGTTATAAACGAATGGAATATGGAGGTCAGTGTGAATGATTTCATTGGATACGTAGAAGGGAGCATTAAGGATTTTTCTTAGAATTTTGGATTGGAGAGACTGAATACGAGTCCAATAATAAATTGGACTGTTTGGTCGAGCCCCAAACTTCCATTCCGTTGGTTCGTAAAGGACGAATAAGAGTTGGGTATATGGTCAGTTTGTTTTTAAGGGTTGAGATAGTTGGTCGAGTCACCTTTTATCATTGTACCGTTCCAGGTATAGTACTGTGTCATTCAATCGTAATGGAGTACATTTTCTTAGTGCGAAAGTGACTCGAGCACTTTTGCTTTCGTTCACTTCGATTCTCCATTTAGGTACCAGTCTTCTAATCGGTTAAGGTGACTTTGCAGATAGGTGCTTACAACGGACCAGTTGGAATGATAAAGGAGGATACGGGTGTCGTCGGCAAATGTGTAGATGACTGTGTTTGAGGAAGTAGGGATGTCAGCAGTGTATATTGTAATGAGGATCGGGCCAATGGTACATCCTTGAAGGATTTTACCGGAATATAAATGGAAAAGGCTGTCACCTGATATGTGACGATGTGCAATCCCAATTTTCTTATTCTTTTATCTCAGAGAAAAATTATTCTTTTTGGAAAAATTTTGCATTTGGAATTTTCTTTATGTAACTTAGAAAAAAGTGCCTTGACATTTATAAAATGTATTTATAGTTGGCAGACGTATCAATATTATAGGTTTGTAACATTGCCAGAATTGATATTTACAGCCTTTATCTTATAACAAAATATTTTAAAAAATGCACATGTATTGTTCATTTAATTTTTTTTACAGTTCTGGTGGAATCCACACCATGAGGTGTGTGTTAAATGAGCAGCACGTTACACAATCAACAGGTTTTTTTTGTTCGGCATGTGTACAGTTGCGACAGTGCAGATATTTAAAAGTTATATTATTCATAATTATTCTCTTTCTGTGTGCATTGTAATCCTTCGGCTCACCCACTTCCCATCGATATTTCCCATGGCCGGCATTGGCTAATAAAATGTAACGCTTCTTCCCACTTCTCATTTTGCGCAACTATATTCGCAGGGGGGAATTATTCAACATTTAATTACAGGAAAAAAAACGAAGTCCGATACGAGAACAAAACCGACGGGCCGTCGATCTACGGCCATTTCCCGTCAGAAAATGGCTCAATATTTCTTCCTGTCAATCACCTTGAACGTAACAATCCCTTTAACGCACAATTTATTATAAAATACAGCAAAAACATTAATTTATGAATATAAACTTGAGAATTACGCATATTATGAAGTTAACGCTGCAAAATTGTTTAAAAGATGTTATCGATTATAACCTACAGATCTTCGTGATGATCTGATCCAAAACGTGATTAAGACTGATGTAACATTTGTAAAATTTGATTAAGGTGGTGGTCGTCAACACCAAATGAACTTTGATTATGAAATGACGCATTGATTCAAATAAGTCTTACTATGATTTGATAAAATATGATCAATGTACTGTGAGGTCTAACAATAAACGGATGTCGTTAAGCAAGGCCTAATGAAGTATGATCATGTTGCGTTGAAGTTCGACCAAAATTCGATGACGTCAATTTGTGTGAGGTGGCTAAAGAGCTTTCACACTGCGTCATGATTTGTCGAGTAGGGACAGGTTCTGCAGAAATCCGACGTTTGATTTCAAGTCCCTACGAATTCTGATCTAGATCTGATGAGGTCTGATCAAGACTTGATGAAGTATGACCATGTTTCGATGAAAGTGACCAAAATTATATGATGTCTGATCAAGATGTGCTCAATTTTGAAGGTTGGGTTAGATTCAGTTTGAATAAAATGACTATAGAGACTTATACACTGCTTCATGATCTAATGAAGTCGGGCAGGTTCTGCATAACTCTGTGGTTTGATTTCAAGTCTTATTTAGATCTGATGAGGTCTGATCAAAAACTGATGCCGACTAAACAAGACTTGATGAAGTGCAATGAAGTTGTGATGAAGTTTGATAGGAATTCGATGACGTCTGATCAAGATCTGCTCAATTCAGAAGGTTAGTTTAGATTCAGCTAGTATAAAGTGGCTGGCTGTAAAGTCTTATACACTGCTTCATGATCAAAAGCGGCAATCTATTTTAAATAAACACGCTGTACTTGTAAATCTGATGATATTAAAAAGAAGGTTGTATGCCGAGTCTAGACTAACAAGGTTAACTATCGCGCAATTTACAGCATTATTCGTTGATTTATCAAGCATATGAAAGAGGCAGTGTGCTGGATTTGCGTGTCCCGTAAAACAAAGCATGTTGTGCTAATCTTAGATTATTTGCTCACCGCTGTCGGTTGGGGCAGTGGGGCAGAGCGTACCGGCCCCGTTATAAACTGCCACTCCTTCTCCTTACCGCAACTTATCCTCATTTCTTTTCTTTCTGTTCATATTCTTCATTTTCTTCCTTTCATTCCGGTCCTTCATGATTCGATCCGTAGGTCGGCCGGATACTCCAGGAGCCTAATTTAAAAATGGGCCAATTTTCCGTCGGCCTATCTTCAATTTAGATCTTCTCCCTCTCGACGTTCGATCCGACCGCAGATTCGCCATTTT